GCTTTTTAGCAGCATGGTGGAAGTTCTGTTTCATCTTTGACAGGTCCTCAGTTAAGTCCTGAGAGCAAAAAAGGAATTTTCATTAAAAAGAATAAATGTGAAAAACAGCTTACAAAGCCAAGAAAGGGAGCTGCATGCATGGGGAACAGAGTGTCACAGGACAGCACAGGAACTAAAAGGCAAATTTCAGGGTCAATCCTTCAGACATTGCTGGAAAATTCAGAGTTAGAGGGAGCAAAAAGCAACAGCACATCAGAGAACTCAGAAATTGCCTTGCTCCCTGCAGCCACACAGAGAACATTTGCTCATGGTCAGCACTGAAGCCTGGCCAGGGCTTACCTGGAGCCAACATTGTAGATGTTGTACTGCAAAGTCAAGTCCTTGCCCTCCACTGCATATCTGTTCAACAGGGATTTGGAGGCCAGGAGCCTGGCACCATCCTCGCAGCGAGCCACAGACAGCAGAGCAAACACGGCAAGAAGGGGGAGCTTCATCTAGAAACACAAAGAAATGGAACTGAGCATCTGAAATATCTGAACTTGCCCGTGAGGATGGAAGAATTGGCACAGCAGTGTCCCAGATCTGCAGATCTGGAAGAAAAGTTCATGATCTTCTCCTCTTTCAAAGCTCCTGGCCAGCACCACTCCCTTTTGCAGAATATGGAATGTCCTGAGTTGAAAGGGACCCAAAAGCATCATCAAGTCCAAGCCCTGGCCCTGCACATGTCAGTAATGGGCAAAGCTTTCAGATCACTTCCAGAGCAAAAGCTTTGGTAATGAACAATTTCATCAGTTTTAGCAACTGATGGTTAATTGCCCTTGCAAAGCCTGGCAACTTTCCAGTGCTGTCTTAGACAACAGAATTAGTCCTTAGAAAGCACATTATTATTATTATTATTATTATTATTATTATTATTATTATTATTATTATTATTATTTGAACATTGAGATAATAATGAAGAAGAAGAAAAGGAAAAGAAGAAGAAAAGAAGAAGAAGAAAAGAAGAAGAAGAAAAGAAGAGAAGAAGAAGAATAATTCCAACATTATTCCTCCCTATTTCCAGCCACTGAGCACCACCAACTCCCTCCAGTGGATTTTATGATCCCCTGCACAAGTCCCTGCTTCAGGCCACGTTTTCTGACTTATCCCAACCCAGCCCTCTGCAGCCACCCTGCTGAGAGGACCAGGAGACAACAGCAACACCACAGATGTGACCAGTGAGGACACTTGATGGGGCTTCTAAATGCAAAAACTGCTTCAATGCCAGGGCCTCTGCCTTCCACAGTCACAGGGTGGTGGTTGGGGTTGGACAGGGCTGTAAAGACCATGCAATTGCACCCCCCTGTCGTGGGCAAGGACACCTCCCACGAGCCCAGGCTGCTCCAAGCCCCATCCAACCTGGCCTGGAACACCTCCAGGGATGGGGCAGCCACAGCTTCTCTGGACAAGCTATGCCAGTGGCTCACCTCCCTCACAGGCACCAATTTCTTCCCAATATCCCGTCTAACTCTGCCCTCTGGCAGTGGGAAGCCTTGTTTTGTCACTGCAGGACCTTGTCAAAGTCCCTCACAAGTTCTCTTGGAGCCCCTTTAGGCCTCTGAGGTCTCCCTGGAGCCTTCTCTAAGCTGAACACCCCCAGCTCTCCCAGCCTATGTCCAGAGCAGAGGAGCTCCAGAGCCCTCAGATCATCTCTGTGGCCTCCCCTGGACTCACTGCAGCAGCTCCTTGTCCTCCCTGTGCTGGGGAGCCCAGAGCTGGGGCAGCTCTGCAGGGCAGGGTCTCAGCAGAGCAGAGGGGCAGAATCCCCCCCTCACACGCTGCACACGCTGCTGGGGATGAGCCCAGGTCAGTTTTGGCTTTCTGGGCTCCCAGTGCACGTTGCCACAGCGTGCTGAGCTTCTTGTCAATGTTCCCACATCCTTCCCAGGGCTGCTCTGCATCCATTCTCCCCCAGCCTGTTTGTGTTTCCGGATGCCCCAATGCAGGTGCAGCACCTGCCCTTGGCCTCGCTGAACCTCCCGGGCTTGGCACGGACCCAGCCCGTCCCAGAAGCCCCTTCCTTCCCCCCAGTCGTGCCCTGCTGCAGCCCAGGCTGCTCCTGCCCCCTCACGAAGCCCAGAGGGGCTCAAGGAACCTCCCAACAGGGAAGTGCCCGGTTCCACCCACGCTGCCCGCGGAACACCCCGACTCTGACCCTGGTCCTTCCTGGCCCCTCAGAGTCGATCCTCTCCTACAGACGCGTCCCGAGGGCCGAGGACACGGCCTCAAACGGCTCCGGACCTCCCGCCCCTCACCGTCTCTCCCGCCGCCACCGCCGCAAAGACGAGTCAGCGCCAGCGAGGCGGAAATGACGCACACGAAGCGCGACTCAGGAAACCCCTATGCCCCCTGGGAAATGGAGTCCTGTGCGCACGCAGGGACTCCGCGCATGCGCAGAGCGCACTTCCGGCGCTGCCCCATTGCCCAGTTATGGCGGAAGTAGCGGCAGGCGCTGCTTTTAGTTATAGTTGGGACTTTTAGTTATAGTTGGTGCTTTTAGTTATAGTTGGGACTTTTATAGTTGGTACTTTTAGTTATAGTTGGTACTTTTAGTTGGTGCTTTTAGTTATTGTTGGTACTATGAAAAATGCGTATTTTATGATCGGCTTTTTGCAAATATTGAAATGAATATTATATGTGTTGCGTTAGAAAGTAATGCTGTATTCATTCTCTTAAGTAGTGTGTTAAATATAGTTTTGGGTTATAAAAAAAAAAAAAAGTTAAAATAGAAACTATGCTGTATAGGACACTTTTTTTAAAGAAAGGACTCACAGCAAGATAGCAGCTGCAGGACACCTAAATCTTTCAGAGAAAAAGAATTTATTGCCCTCTTATCAGAAGAAACGAACTTCTTCCCGCCTCGAAGGCACTGTCAGGATTCAGAGGAAGAAGCTGACGATGACCAGACAGAATCCTGTGTTTGAATGGAATTTATGCATCATGTATGCAGTGTATAAATATGCAACAGGCTGTTGTTTTTAAGGGTTAATCCTTTGTTAATGTGTGTCTTTTTTCAGGCTCCTGCTGCCCAGAAAAAGGTACCCGGACGTCCATAACTCTTTGTCTCTATTGTCTCATATTGTTCTAAGTAAAATTGTCCAAATTATTATTACTCTAATTGTGTTACTATTTTTATAACCATTTTATTACTATTAAACTTTTAAAATCTTAAAAACAAGTGATTGGCGTTTTTCACAGTGGGGGTGGCAATGTCCTGCCAAACAGGAGCCCTGACCTTACTTTGTCCCTGAGCACATCCCCCATAAAGCTGATCCTCACTGCCTATAGGACTTAATAGATTTTTGCACCAATTAATAAGTGGACAAACACAGCCCCACTATTCCAAGCTCACAAAATCCATATCAGTTTGTCTTCTCCTCTCTTCTGCTGATAGATCTCCAAAAATTCCATTTTAGAGTATAAATGCACCCCTCCATCCAGCAGATCCCTCCATTTCTTTGAGGGGTTGTGCTTCTACCACCATGCCTGGATGGATGGATGATGGATGGATGGATGGATGGATGGATGGATGGATGGATGGATGGATGGATGGATGGATGGATGGATGATGGATGGATGATGGATGGATGATGGATGATGGATGGATGGATGGATGATGGATGGATGGATGATGGATGGATGGATGATGGATGGATGATGGATGGATGATGGATGGATGGATGGATGGATGATGGATGGATGGATGATGATGATGGATGGATGATGGATGATGGATGGATGATGGATGATGGATGGATGGATGGATGGATGGATGGATGGATGGATGGATGGATGGATGGATGGATGGATGGATGGATGATGGATGGATGATGGATGGATGATGGATGGATGGATGGATGATGGATGGATGGATGGATGGATGGATGGATGGATGGATGGATGGATGGATGATGGATGGATGATGGATGGATGATGGATGGATGGATGATGGATGGATGATGGATGGATGGATGGATGGATGGATGGATGGATGGATGATGGATGATGGATGGATGGATGATGGATGGACGGATGATGGATGGACGGATGGATGGATGGATGGATGGATGATGGATGGATGGAGGATGGATGGATGATGGATGGATGATGGATGATGGATGATGGATGATGGATGGATGGATGGATGGATGGATGGATGGATGATGGATGATGGATGGATGGATGATGGATGGATGGATGGATGATGGATGGATGATGGATGATGGATGGATGGATGGACGGATGGATGGATGGATGGATGGATGGATGGATGGATGGATGGATGGATGGATGATGGATGGATGATGGATGATGGATGGATGGATGATGGATGGATGGATGATGGATGGACGGATGATGGATGGATGGATCCAGCCCCACCAGTGCAGCAGAAGCTGAGAGACACTGGGTGGGGATCACCTGGTCCTCAAGGCACCTGAGTCCTGGTACTCTTGAGTTGGCATCCACCACCCCACGATGGTCCTGACCTTCTGATACCCCAGCTCCTTGCTGCCCTGGCTACATCCCTGTTGTGACCCCAGCCTCTCAATGCCCCCAGCCCCATCTCCAGCACCTTGGTGCCACCATCTCCATGTCCACTGTGCCTCCAGCCCCTACACACCCCTGTCCCCAGCCTTTATGGTGTCCCCATTCCCATCCCTGCGGTGCCCCCCACCCCTCGGTGTCCCTCTCCCCACACACGGTGACCACTCCCCAACCCAGACTCTCAATGTCCCTGTCCCCAGCCCCACAGTGCCCCCAGGGCGCAGATGCAGAACGGACAGACAGCTGGACGCGGGGGAAGTCCCTGCTTCTCCGTTTATTACCAAGCAGCCTTCGTTTAAAAAAAAAAAAAAAAACAAACAAAACCAAAACAAAACAAAAACAAAAACACAGACATACAGACAGGCAGAGGCGGCCCGGCGGGGCGGGGGCCGCCCGCCCATGGTTTTTGTTTGGTTCCTGACACCAGAGAGGTTCAAGTAGCCGAAAAAGGTTCAAGTTCACCATAAGGCACTTTAAAGCCATGACGGGAGCAGAGCCCCCCCCCCGGCCCCATCGCTCCTGCCGGCACCCCATGGCACACGTGGGGGCCGGGCAGCGCTGGTGGTTGGCAGCGGAGGGGCTGTGGGGGGGAATATATTACATCATCTTTTTAAATATAGATAAAACTCTTATTTGTAGACAAATAGTGCCGGTCCCCTCCACCCCCGGGGAGGCTGCGCCCTGCGGGGGGCATGTGCAAAGGACAGAGGGGTGACCGTGGGGGCCCGGCCACCCCAGGGAAAGGGAGGGGTCCCACAGGGCCAGGGGGATTTCAGAAGGGGAAAAAGGTCCGGGGGGGGCCGGGGCTGCCCCGCACCCGGGTGGGCTCACCCGAATAGTGCAACCAAGAGAAAGCAGCCGGGAGTGCAGGGGCGAGGGGGGCTCGCCGGGGGGGGGGCTGCTCGGAGTGGGGAGGTGGGGACAAGCTATGCACAGCGTAGGGCAGTGCCCCCCTCCACTGGAGAGGATGGGGGGGGCTCTCCCCACCTGGGGGGGGGGCCTTGGTCCATGGGTGCCCCTGCCCGGTCCTGGCATCCACGAGGGGTTTGGTGGGGGGACATCCAAGTCCCGATCCCCCCATCACCCACCCTGGGCATGACCAGGTGGGCCCGGGCACGGTGGTGGGGGGGGTGATAGGGGCCCCCCACCCCCTTGTGCAAATCGGCCGAGGGGATTTTCCCCCTTTGCATAACTAGGAATGAACCGTGACGGGAAAAACAGGAACAGAAACCCCAGTGGGCACGGCACAGCTCGGCATGGAACGCCACGACACCTGCCCATCGCATCACCCCTACGCCGTCTCCACCGGCACGGTGCCGTCCGGCTGCGGCCCTTCCTCACCCTCCTGCTCCTCTTCCTCCTCCTCGGGCTGCCCTGGAGCCCAGTAGCGGGCAATGGAGAGGCGCAGCCCCTCCAGGCGCCCGTTGGAGAGGTCGAGGCCCGGGGGCCCGGTGGGCGGCGGCGTTGGTTCGTCGCGGCGGCGGCGGCGCGTCCGCACCTCCAGGCAGTTCTGGCCCTTCAGGTGCCGCTGGAGGTGGTCGTCCTTGGCGAAGGCCTTGTGGCAGAGGTAGCACTCGTAGGGCCGGGCGCCTGTGTGCAGGTGCATGTGGTTCTTCAGGTCGTAGCTGTGCAGGAAGCGGGCGCTGCAGTGCTGGCAGGAGTAGGGCCGCTCACCTGTGTGCTTGCGCATGTGGATCTTCAGTTTGTCGTTCCTGGAGGTGGGACAGACAGGGAGATTTTGGCATTGAGTGGCCAACTTGGCATCCAAACACCTGAGGGAGGGCAATGGCGCTGGAAGCCTGAGAGCAGGGATGCTCTGTAGGGCACAGGGCTCTGGATGCGCTGTGGGACACAGGGCTCTGGATGCTCTGCAAGGTACAGGGCTCTGGATGCTCTGGTAGGGCACAGGGCTCTGGATGCTCTGTGGGCACAGGGCTCTGGATGCTCTGCAGGATACAGGGCACAGGGCTCTGTGGGGCACAGGGCTCTGGATGCGCTGTGGGACACAGGGCTCTGGATGCTCTGGAGGGCACAGGGCTCTGGACCATTGGATGGCTGAGATGCAGCTGGCTGCTGGCAGGGGGATGCTGCTGGCTGCCCCAGGCTGCTCTGGCAGTGCTTACATAGTGCAGAAGACTCTCCTGGACCTGCACCACAGCCATGCCAGGGCTGACAGATGAGGTGCTATGGGTGCCTTGCGTGATCTGGCAGCACTCACAGAGTGCAGAACACCCCATTGACCCGACTTCACCAGCAGCTACAGCAGAGGGGACACCACCAGGGATGTTCCTGGGTACCTCAGGTCAGCCCAGCAGCACTCATGAGGTGCAGAAGGCCCCACAACCCCACTGCACCACAACAGAACTTGCAGGGGGTGCCATGGAGGATGCCACTGGGTACCTGTGTTGGTCCAGAGCACTCATGGGGTGCAGAAGATGCTATGAATGTGCATTGCACTGGCAGGACTGGCAGAGGGGTGCTGTGCAGAGTGCCATCAGTTTGGTCTGGCAGCACTCAGAGGATGCAGAAAACCCCATGACCCATGTGGCCAGGCCCTGGTAGGACTGGCACAGGGGGGTGGTGCCATAGGGGATGTCATTTGGCACACATCAGGTGGGGAGAGCCTGCCCAGCAGCACTCAGGGGATGCAGGAAACCCCATGAACCTCATCAGGCCTATGGCCAGGCCCTAGTAGGACCAGGGGGGTGCCATAGGGGATGTCATTTGGCAGGGAGAGCCCATCCAGCAGCACTCAGGGGATGCAGAAAACCCCTGGTAGGACTGGCACGGGGCGCTGGTGCCACAGGGGATGTCATTTGGCACACATCAGGTGGGCAGAGCCCATCAGGGGCACTCACCGTGTGAACCGGACCCCGCAGACCTGGCAGGCAAAGGGTTTCTCGCCCGTGTGCGTGCGCATGTGGCGAGGCAGCTTGCCAGCACCGTGGATGACCTTGTGGCACACGGGGCACTCCTGGGGCATCTGTGAGCGCCTCTTCCTCACCAGCTTGTCGGGGCTGTCCAGCCCGGGCGCCAGCGACTCGTGGTGCAGCGAGCTCAGATACGCCATCAGGTCGGGGTCGATGGCGTCCTCGTCAGAAGGTGCCTCCTCAGGGGACAAGGGGGGCTGGTAGGGGAAGGGGAAGGAGTGTGGGGGCAGCTCCTCTTCCTCAGGCAGCTCGAAACTGTCGTAGGGCAGGGAGAGCCCCTCGGGCAGAGGGGGTGAGGGCAGCTGGGAGGGCGGCTGGGGGCTGCCGGAGCCTTCGGCCTCAGCGGCGGGCGGCTCCTCGGCGGCGTGGTTGTTGAGCTGGGCACCGCGGGCCTGCAGGAACTTGCGGGTCTTCTTGCTGCGGCGCGGGGTGGGGCGGGGGGGGCGGCGGGGCAGGCACCTCACCCTCGGGGAGGGTGGAAAAAGCCTCCAGGTAGCGGCGGGCGCGTTCGCAGTCGCCGTCATCGGGGCCGGGTGCCTCCAGCCCGCTGCCCTGCAGGATCTCCACGCAGGCAGCGATGACACAGGGGATCTCCAGCAGCCGGGCAGCGCGCAGCACCTCGCCCATGTTGGCGCTGCTGATGGTCAGCGTGGCCGTGTAAGCGAACTCCAGCAGCGCGCCCAGAGCCTCAGGACCCACGAAGTCCAGCTCGCAGACCTCCTGGCCCGGCCCCGGCCCTGCGAAGAGCTTCTTGAAATAGCGGCTGGAGGCAGCCAGGACGGCACGGTGGGTGCGGTACTCCAGCCCCTGCGTCTTGATGGTGACATCGCAGAGCAGCCCCAGCTGCCGCTGCTCGTTCAGGCAGCTCAGCAGCTCGCTGCTGTGCTCAGGGAAGGGGATGCCGATGAGGTCGTCCTCTGGGCTGGCCATTGTCCTCACCTGCAGGGATAAACCCAGGGATAAGATGGGAAGACCCTGTGGAACTTCAAAACCAGCAAGCACCTTGAAACACACACTCACCCACCGGGTTCACTGACACATAAGCTACTGGTCTGCGTTTTTTGACTGGGGGAACCTTGGAGCAAAACAAAACCTCCAAAAATTAGACCACACCTCTAGACTGAGAGCAACCCCTCAACGCGCTAATAGCACCCAGACCCAATACAATTGATCAATGGACCAAGCTACCCCAGGGATAGCAGCACAATCTCCCCCAAGAGTCCCTATCAACGGGGAGGTTTACAACCTTAATGTTGGATCAGGACATCCCAGTGGTGCAGCCACTACTAAGGGTTCGTTTGTTCAACGATTAACAGTTCTATGTGATCTGAGTTCAGACCAGAGCAATCCAGGTCGGTTTCTATCTATGATGAACTCTTCCCAGTACGAAAGGCCAATACCACAAGCAAGCCTTCGCCTTAAGTAACGAAAAAACAACTAAATTACAAAAGGCTATCACACCACACCACGTCCTGCAGGAAGGACAGGATGCTGCTTGACCGACAGAGGAACAAGCTGGGAGAGAGCGCTTGGAAGAAACACCGCAGCTGGAGCGTTGCTGCCATGAAGCCAGGGCACAAGGAACGCTGCCTGTACACGCTGGGTGGCACTGGGGTTTCAGTGGGACATGAACTGGGGCAGGCTTGGGGCCCAGGGTCTGCCTCAGTTCCCTCCATGCTGTGCAGAGGTTGGTGGGTGCAGGCCCCCCACCACAGGCCTCCACACTTCCTCCACTACCACCAGCACCCAGCCGCCCGCGCCGCCACAGCAAAGGGAGAAATCTCAGCGTGGTGCCTTTGAACAGCAGCGAGGTGCAGCGCTTCCTGTGCCAGCCCACCCACAATCCCCCCAGCCCGCTGCCACGGCCAGGCGCAGCCCCTGGCTCCCAGCAGCCCCGTCCTGGGAACACGGGCCTCGCTGGCAGAGGCATGGTGGGCGGGCGAGCGCTGGGAAGAGCACCCTGAGGGCCAGGGGGCCGCCCCGTGGAGCCCAGCTGGGCTGGGAACAGGGGCCACACTTCCTGCCACGGCAGATTAGGATCAGCACCTGTGCCACCGGTTCCTGCCCCCGCTCCTGGTTGGGACTGGGCCCCCTCCCTCCCCCTGTGCCCCAGCCCGGGGCCACTCCTCGCCCAGCCAAGCCCAGCCTGCGCCAGTCAGGCCTTTCCCACGCTGCAGCTGGCAGAGCTTGGCCTCAGCCCTAAACCCAGCACTGCTCACGCTCCCACTGTGGTGCCCATGGTGCACCACCAGGGACACACGTGCAGCCAGCACAGGTGGGAAAGGGGGAGCCCATGACCCTCACAGCCCGCAGGCAGGCTGCAGGCAGCAGTGGCAGCTCCAGGGCTGCAACCACCTATGGCCACAGCGTGCCCAGCTATGGCCCTTGCAGCCAGCCAGGTGACACTGGCACTGCTGGGTGTCAGTGGAATGGGAGCCCAGCATCTGCAGCCTGGGGGAGGCAGAGGCAGGTACCACCTCTCCAGTTGTGCCATGTGGCACCGGCCATGGCCAAGCCGTGCCAGGCAACGCTGAGCCACGCCAGGCCCATCCACCCCAAACCCACCGGGCCGTGCCAAACCACACTGTGCTGGCACTGCTGGGTGTCAGTGGAATGGGAGCCCAGCATCTGCAGCCTGGGGGAGGCAGAGGCCGGTACCACCTCTCGAGCTGTGCCATGGTGGACAGCACCATGCGGCACCGGCCATGGCCAAGCCATGCCAAGCAACGCCGAGCCACGCCAGGCCCACCGGGCCGTGCCAAACCACACTGTGCCGTCGGCAGGCGGGCGTGGGGGACGTGCCCCCTCTTGCCCATGGAGGGGCGGCGCGGGCGACGGCCCCCGGCGCAGGGGCCCATCCCCAAGCCGGCCGCTCCCTGCGCTTGGGCGGCCGCCAGCTGGGGCTGCCTCGGCAGGCAGCTGGGAACGGCCCCGGAGCAACCGGCTGCGGAGCCGCCCCAGCCGCTGCCGAGCAGGCCCGACCGGCAGGGCAGGCGGCAGCCGCCCCTGAAACCGGGAGCCAGCAGTGCCGACCGCCTGGGATGCTGGCGCCAGCAGCCGTGGCCAAGCCCCCCTGGCTGGCAGGAGCCCATCCCGGCACTGGTTGAGGTCCCCTCTGCCTGCCGAGGTGGGGGTGATCGGATTAGGGGTGATTAAACCATCAGGGCCCCCGGAGCCAACAGGCAGTGACAGCCCCCGGTGGGATTAGGCAGGATTAGCTGCAGGGGCAGGATTAAGCAGGGGGGTAAGTATCCCATGCCACAGCTTGGGCAGCTGGAGAGGGGTGACAGGGATGGGGCACCTGCCATGGGTGGGCCAGAGCCCCACGGACCCCCAGGACTGCCACAGGCAATAGGCACAGGATGGGGTGGCACCGTGTCCTCCAACACTGCCACCCCAGTGATGGCACCAGCACAGCCTCCCTTCTGCCCTGGTGCCCACAGCACCCCACGAGAAACCTGGGCACAGGGCACTCGCAAGGCTGATGGCACCCACTGGCACGTGCCTTTGGGGGTGTCTGGGCACAGGGCAGCAGCTGAGACCCCGTCACGTCCCAGCAGGTGGCACGGTGCTCTGAGCGACGGGCACCAGCCTCACCACGTCCCAGCGCACACGGACACAGCCTCAGCGCTGCCAGTGTCACACAAATCACCAGCGGAGCTCTGCTAAGGCAGCCGGGACCCCGGTGAGCAGCCACGGGGCTCGGTGCCACCAGACAGAGCTGCAGGGCTGGGGCAGGGTGGGGGCGAGGTGGCGGCGGCAGGAGGGGGATTTTCCATCGCACCAAACCGCCCCCTTTACGGCTCCTTTGCTGACACCCCCACCCCCCCGCACATCCTCCTCACTGGAGCGAAGAAGTCACATGCTGAGCGGGTGCTGCCGTCGAGGAGATCACCGCAGTGATAAGGAAATGGCAGAGGATGAGGTGTGAGGGGACAGGAGCCGCCCCCGGGCCCCCAGCATTCCCAGGCTGCTCCCGGAGGTGATGGCTGGGAGGGCACAGGTGGTGATGCCCATGGCCTTGCCATGCCAGAGCTTCCTCGGTTACCTCAGTGCTGTGGCTGGGCACATTTTGGCTGAACAGAGGAAAGGAAAGGGGGAGTTGCTCCCCGTGTTGAGCTGGCTCCCATGCAGGGCGGGTGGCAGCAGGAACAATGTCTGCCCGGGTCACCCTGACATCCATCCCTCTGCCAGCCCAGGCTGCCTGGGACAACCACGGCGAGGCTCCACCCATGTGCCAGCTCCTCTGTGAGAGGGGTCCAGCCACCCAGGCAGGGCCGTGGGCAGCGGGCTGGGGTCCCTGCAGTGCCCCTCCTGCGTGTGTGCCATGCCACCAAGCAGGGATGGCACCCCGAGTGAGGGCACAGTGCACTGGGCCCGGCTTGGGGACGGTGGGAGGTGGAAAGGGGTGTCCAGTGGGGATCTCCCGACATGGAGATCGGGGAAGGAGAGCAGAGGTCCCAGGAAGCACAGTCCCCACCCCGGGCTGCTGCCGAGTGCCCCTGCTTTCGGTCACAAGAGTCACAAATGCTGTCGAGGGACTTCACAGCCCCATGGGGAGAATGAGTCACCCCGGAAGGGGAGCGCAGCGCGGAGTCGCCCTGGCCCCTCGCCCCGTGGGGCCCCTCACCCTTTGGGATCCAGGATGTGGACCCAGGGGTCCGGGCTGGGCAAGCCCCCCACCCTGCAGCAGCTGAAGCCAACTGGGAGCAGCAGCGGCCCTGGTGCCGATGGCCACGGTGTGGATGGAGGGTGGCGTGGCTGCAGGGCTGGGGCTGTGCAGCCCCTCTGTCTGCCCAGCAGGGAAGGTGGTGGCCGGGGTCTGGCTCAGCTGGTGACCCTGTAGCAAGCACATGCCGAGGGTCCCATTGCTGGAGGAAGTGGGGAGAGCAGCAGTGCTCTTTGAAAGAAGAAAAGAACAAGTAGAGACAAAAGGAAATGGTTTGGAGATGAAAGAGGATAAACAGTCCCCCACCCCATAGCACTGAGAGTGAGCCCCATGGCACTGCTCAGGCCCCCTGGCACTGGCCAGCTCACCCAGAGCTCCCAGGGACATTAGAGACCAGCACTGAGAGGGGGCTGAGCGCCGTGGCCCGGGGCTGCCTCAGTGCCCAGCCAGCACTGCACCTGGGGCCAGTGCCAGCCTGGCACAACAGCTGCCACGGAGGCTGGGCACAGGGCATCCCTGCCGTGGTGGAGCAGGCCTGGTGGTGTTGCCAGAGCCTCTCCTGGCATCTGTGGCAAGGACAAGAAGCAAAGTCCCCCATGCTGCCCACCCGGCCTGCTGGCACTGTGCTGGCATCCTGGTCCCCTCCTGCCGCCAAAACCTTCCCCACTGCCACATCCAGCTGCCTGGCATTGCCACTCTAGGGTGTGGGCCCTGCTCTGCCAAACCAAAGTGACCCAGATCTCGCCACTCGTCCCATCCCACCCCATCCCATCAGCAGTGAGGGTGGTGTGGGGCTCAGGCAACGCCAACGTCCCACAGCCTGCTGGGGCTGAGGCAGCTGGCCCAGATCTCCCAGTGCCCGGTGCCACATTGGGTCCCCACCGCCCTGGCAGCTCCTGCACCACAGCAGCAGCGCTGGCAGGGTGGGAGTGTGGCTCACCTGCCCCGTGTCCCGGCGTGGCTCCGCGCTGCGTGGCGGCCCCGCTGGCGGCCCGCGAGTGGCAGGGAGGGGAAGGCAGGGGCAGGGTGCTGGTGCTGTGTGAACTTGGCCCCGCTCCCCGCTGCACTTGAGCTCAGGATCCCACCTCAAAAGGAGTCGACGCCCACACCCCGGGTCACGCACCTCCCAGCCCCGCTTCCCAGAACACACACGGCATTAACTCTTTGCGGCCAGTGCTGCGCCGTGGGGCGCCAACCCGGAACCGGGCAGGGGGCATCCCCTGGCCCACTCCCACGGGAGAAAATCCCCAGCGCTGCCAGGACAGGCAGCCGTACCTTGAGCACGCCTTCCCCGCCACTAACACCGTCTCCAAGGCGTCTGCCCCTGCCCCCCCGTGCCGTGGCACATCACACAGGCCCTCCTCACCTTCTCGTGTGCCCCAAGGCAGGGCGCTGGGTGCTCGCCACTGGCCATGGCCAGCCCAGCCGGGCTGCCAGGGTGCCTGTGCTCGGCGGCAGCAGGGCAGGGCTGGGTGCAGCATGCTGCAGCCTGCCCGGCCAGCCCTGGAGCCACCCCCCGGTCCTATGGATTCCTGTCCTGCTCTCCCCTTGGAGCAGGTTCCCGAGATCCACATGGGGAATGTGGGAAGGAGCGACGGCCCAGCTGGGCTGTGCTGCCTGATCCCCTCCACTCCCTGGGCAGGGGCACTCGTGGGCTCCCCAGGCCAGGCTGCACATTCATGCAATGCCCCCATAATTACACCCTCTGTGTCCCCAGCTAAACAGCAATTAGCAGCCCGGAGAGCTCGCCCCACACCCCACCACCAGCACCAGCACCCGCCCAGGCAACCCACGCCACACCAGTCAGGGGCACCGGCACTGTGGCACCCTGGCATGGCCCAGCAGGCTCCAGAGCTGGGGATGTCTGCAGCAGGCCAGGCAGAAAGGGGAAGAGCCCCACAGCAAAGCAGGGGGACAGCAAAGGGCTCAGCCCCAGCAGTGCTGACGGAAGGAGCTGGGTTGTGCAAGAGCCCCTGGGCAGGCAGTGGAGACGGGCAGAGGGGCATCCCCAGTGTGCCCTCCATGGTATCCTGCTGTGCCATCACTGTGGGCCCCGTGCTGGGCAGGAGCCAGCTGTGGAGCCACAGGAGTGCCTGGAGTGCAGGCAGCACACAGCCAGCACAGCGTTGTGGGCAGCACTGCCCAGCACACTGCTCCAGGGTGCCCCAGTGGGGGGCACAAAACAGGGCACAGCCCTGGACAACATCCATGAGAGGGAGGGAGGACAGGAGGGAAGGAGGAGGGCTGTGGCACCTGCTGCCAACCCTTCCCCTGCCCTTTGTTCCCCATAAAGGAGGGGAATGGCGCCAGTCCCCCCTGGCCCAGGTGTGCCAGGTGCTAAGGGCGGGAGATAAGGTGGGCGAGGCGGGCAGGGAGGGGCACGGCACGGCATGGGCACGCAGCCCTGAGTCAGGGTTCCTACTGGTGGCCAGGATGGGGTGAGTCACCGTGGCCCCCCCACCCTGGGGGTGTTGCAACCACCCGGGCGCTGGCCACAAACTGCTGCTCGCCCTGGCTGGGGGGCATCGGGCTGGGGGGGCAGCTGGGGAGGTGCTGGCCTTTGGGGAAGATGGGCTAACCTCCATGTGTCCGTCCATCCATCCATCCATCCGCTCTACCCCTGCCTTGGCCAGTGGCATCCTGACCAGTGTCACCAGTGAGGGGACACGGCCTCATCCCAGCTCCTCTTCCAATGGCACGATGGGCAAGCCCATCTCCTGCATCACATCCTGACACAGAGCAGCACCCTGACCTGCCAGGGCATGGCATGGCCACATGCTTGCCCAGGACAGATGTGGCCTCTGTGTGTCACCTCTGGCCTAGGAAGGAAGGAGGGAAGGAAGGAAGGAGGGAAGGAGGGAAGGAGGGAAGGAAGGAAGGAAGGAAGGAAGGAAGGAAGGAAGGAAGGAAGGAAGGAAGGAAGGAAGGAAGGAAGGAAGGAAGGAAGGAAGGAAGGAAGGAAGGAAGGAAGGAAGGAAGGAAGGAAGGAAGGAAGGAAGGAAGGAAGGAAGGAAGGAAGGAAGGCTCTGCCAGCCACCAGCAGCCTGGGACAGGCAGGCTCACCTACCACTGGGCCTGCTGGCTGGCCCCAGGGTGAGCTGGCTCTGGAGCTGCTGGCCCCGCAGCACAGTCACGGGAACCCCTTGGAGGGCAGCCAGACCCCCTGGGTCCCACTGTGCTGCACAGCCCGAGGGGCCCCCCCCCAGCTGGTGGCACCTCCTCCTCACAGCACCTCGGGGACTGAGCATCACCAGTGGCACAGGCTGTGCCCCCAGCGCTCCATCCTGGCACCAGGGTGGCGCTGGTCCCGGTGGGGTCACCTGGCAAGGACAGTGCCAGCCCACAGCCCCCCCCTCCACACCCTCCAAAATAGCCCGGCTTCCGCCCCCACGGCAGCTGCCTGCTGCCAGCTCCCCGCTGCCCACGGCTGATCCCGGGGAGGGAAGGGGGGCAGGAGATTCTAATCCCCCCCCCCCAGCCCCCCCCTGAGCCCACACAGCACCGACAGCCAGGCCGTGCCCGCCGCGGCCACGCCAACCCACAGAGTGGCACCGAGGAGACCCCAGGCAGCCCTGCAGCAAGGGGAGGGCAATGCCCCAGGGCTCTGCAGGGCAGCAGGCATGGGCAGCCTCTGTGGAACCCCTCTGGGCTCACCGTGATATCCACACCACAGCAGCTGCCTTGTGCCACCCCAGCAGGGCACGAGGGGCTCGGTTTCCTTGGTTCCCTTTCTCTTCCTTGCAGTGGGGCTGGCAATCCCCCTGTCCACCCTTGCTATGGCTCCAAGTCCTGTGCCCTGATGGTTGCCCAGGGGAGGGGAATCAAAGCAAAACTGCTGGGGTGTCACTGTACCCAACGAATGGCAGCCAGCACAGCCACATTCTCCACCCTGCTGGTGTTCAGTGTCGGCAGTGCCTGGCACCCACCTTGCCTGGGACCCCGAGCCTGGCAGCAGGACCCCCTTACCCACTCCCCACTCCAACTGCTGCCCACGGGGCCTGGGGACATGACAGAGACAGCTGGGCAGAGTGGAGCACACAGTGCAACCGAGGCTGCCGGGAGAGGCCAGAGCTCGCCTGACCTACTTCTCCTTCCGCATCACCTGCTTTCATTTTCCCTCACCCGGGCTGGTCCCCCTGCCTGCCCAGGGCTCCATCAAGTCATGCCAGAAGCTCTGGGGATACAAATCACCCGGGCACCATGGCTCCCACTGCACCATCCTGCATGTCAACCGACCTGCCCAGCCCTGGGCACAGGCTGTGCCCGGGTGCACTGAAGGTCATCGGCCACAGCCCCGGCACCACCACCTCCCTCCCCTGCCTGCATGGCTACCCAAGCGCCATCTTCCTGGCACGAAGCGAGTTTGACGGGTCTCAGCCCAGCCCCTCACCAGGTCCTCTGACCGCCCTGGGGCTTGCTGGGGTGTGGACATGCAGCTCTCGGGGCATGTCAGGGACGCCGGTGCTGCCACGGGGAGCCAGGCGGGCGCCAATCCTCCAGACGGGGCGGCCGCTCCCACCGGCACCCTGCCTGCTCCCGCCGTGGAGTTACCATGGGAAGGCAGCGCTGGTGGCGCAGGGGGAGCGCAGGCTCCCGGGGGCTCCCGCCAGCAGCCCACACGCTGCCAGGAGAGATTTCTCCCTGGTTTCATCATCCGCTGCCTGCCCTGAAGGAGAAGTTCCTGCTTCACGCACGGGGCAGCAGCCGCCCCTCGAGGGCTGGGGTGCAGCGGGGGCCGCGCTGGGGCCGCAGCCCCGCCGTGCCCCTCCCGCCCCCGTGTGCTCGGGCCTGTCCCGTTCGTGCCACGTGTGCACTGAGGGTGCACGGCAGCAGCTGGCAGAGCCGCGCTGCCACAGCCCCGGGCTCAGCACCGCAGCGCTGGGGACAGCCCGCGCCCGGGCAGGGGGGCTCGGAGGGTCCCCAGGACCTGACACGGGTGTGCCCCCCCGGCACACAGCTGTCACCTCCGCACCCATCCCCGGCACAGACACTCCTAGCCCTGCTGCCCCGCTCTCTCTGCTGTGCCAGAGTTTCCCCTTCTCCATGCGCCCACTTTTAAGTTTCCGAGCTCAGTCCCTCCCTCCCAGCACCAGCATCACCACCGAAGCCTTGAGCGGCCGCAGCTGCCTCGTTCCCCCGGCAGTGCCCCCGGCAGTGCCCCCGGCAGTGCCCCCGGCGGTACCGGGGATCCCAGGCTGACCCCGTTCCTGCCAACCCGGCTGTGGTGGGGGAAACCGAGGCACGGTGCGACTCACCCCGCGACAAAACCGGCGCTGTGTCCCCTCGCCAAGTGAACGCAGCCACGGATCGAGGGCGGCTGTGGCCCAAGACGTGGATCTGCTCCGGCGGGAGGGTAAATACCGCACCCCGCCCCGGGCAAACAGCGGCCGGGGGCAGCCAGCCAGGGGGACGAGGACAGGTACGGCAGGGCTGGGCGCACGGGGCAGAGTCCACCGGTGCCTGGCAGGTGCTACCATGACACCGATCCCGGGGGACCACTGCACAGCCGAGAAGAGGCACCCACTGCTGCTGCCCACTGTGCCAGGGCCGAGGCTCACCAGCTCACCAGCGTGGCACAGCGTGCTGGGACACTGGGATACCTTCCAACTCTACCAATATGGGTGCAGAAGGGGCTCTCCGAGTTGCCTTCCTCCTGCAACGGTGCCGTCCCCATCCGGTGCGCCAGGCATGCCGCCAAGCTGCTCACCAGGTTGGGAAGGGGGGGTGGCAGCACGCAGTCACCCGTGGGACCCTGGCTGAATGGAGCAGCACCGCAACAGGACCACAGCGGAACCTTGGCAGCCGCCCCGGCACGCAGCGGGGACCTGCCGATGTCACAGATTTCCCGCAGCCCCGTGCGCAGGGACCGGGAACAGCCCACGAGTGACACCCCCCGCCCCACGGGCGACGTGTCCACCGGCTCCGGCGGCGGGCGGGGACAGAGGGGCCGTGCGGCGATCGCGTGCCAACCGTGCCCACCCGCTGCCCGCAGCATCCCGAATCAGCGCGACTCACCGCAACCGGGCGGCAAAAAGCGGTCGCCGCACCGGTCCCCGTCCCGATCCCGCTGCCGGTGGGTCGGTACCTCCGCGCAAGCCCCGCCGGTGGGTCTGTCCGCTCCCACCCACTGCCGCTCACCTGCGCACCCCGCCCGAGCCACAGACCGGTCCCGGAGCCACGGCCCCGCCTCCGCCTTCACCTGCCGCCGCCGCGCCCCGCCCGCCCCCCGGCCACTGCTGCCGCCGCCGCCGCCGCCGCCGCCGCCGCCGGGGCTCCAGGAAGCGCCCGCCCCCGCCTCCTCATTGGGCAGCGCGCCGGCGGTCACGCGTCCCATTGGTGGAATGCCCCGCCCATCAGCCCCGCCCCACCCCCCCCTCGGGAGGGCGGGGGTCTTGCGGGCCCGCGGGACCGGGGCGCGCGGGTGGGGGGCGGCTGAGTCAGAGGCGGTTAACGGGATCGGGCGGGGGTCGGGCCCCGGCCCGGGCAGGAGAGCACGGGACGGCCCCGCTGCGGCCCCCACCGGCGCCGAGTGCGGTGCCAGGCGCCGAACGCGCCCCGCCCGCTGCGGCCGCCGAGTGCCGGGGCCGGCACGGCACTGCCCGCTCCGCCCCGCGGACACGGGGGGGCGGGGAACCGGGCATGGAGGTGGAGGGGGGGGGGGGGTGTAAGAACCGAGAAGTGTGCACCGAGGGAGAGTTTAGAGTGCCGGGCACGGGAAACCGTGCGTAGGGTGAGGTACGGAGGGTGGAAAGCCGAGCTCGGGGAACCGGGCACCGAGGAGCGGGCACCGGGATACTGGAGCGGCGGGCACGGGGGGATGGAGAGCTGGACACGGAGAACGTGGCACGGCGGGGAGCGGCGCAGGGAGCAGCCCCCGGTTCTCGGCGGCGCTGGAGCGGGGCGCGGCGGCCCCCAGCGGGGTGGCTCCTCCGCAGGTGCCTGGGCGCGGGCCCCGCGCAACCTGTTTGGCCGCTGCCGGCTCACAGGGAGGCAGCGGCGGCCTCGGGGCTCACCTCGGCTCACCCCGGCCCCCCCGCGCCTGGCTCCGAGCGCGGCCACTGCCCGGCGCTAGCGGAAAGTGTGAGGAGCCACCGCCGCTCCGGGGCTGCCAAGGCAAACACGGCCCCGCGCAGACGTTATGTCAGTGGGCGGGGGGGGCCGCGCCGGGGCACAGAACGGGACCCCCACCCCTTCGCCAGGCCCCGGTACCGGGCACCTGCCGCCGCGCCTCGCCCAGCCGCCCTCTTCGCTCCCCTCGGCTCCGTCCCTCTGACCGTGCACCTGCATCCCCGTCCGGGGTACCGGCCCGCCAGGCTCGGGGCTTCCGCGGGGCGGAGAGGGGAACCCGCAGAACAACCTCACCCTCCGCGCGGCTGCCACCGACCCCCGGCTCCATCGCTCCCCGCCCGTCCCCTCGGGCCACGGTTCGCCATCGCCGCTGCGCTCTGCCACTGCCCGCGGCTGTGCTCCCGGTGATTTCTCTCTCCCTGCTTCCCCCGAGGCGATGCCGACGGTGCGGTCGCACTCACCTCTCCCGGCGGGGGCCAAGAGCGGGGCCGGGCGGGGGCCGCGGGCTCAGCCGGGCCGGCGGCGTGGCAGGAAGGACCGGGTGGACATCGCGGCCCGCGGCAGCCGCCTGCAGAGGGCACTGCTGGCTCCCGGAGCCGAGCCCCGTGGGCGGCACCGATACGCGGAGGGACACGGGGGTCTCTTGGTGCCGGTGGCACCGTTTATTTAGGTTAAAAACAGCAGACACGACTCGGGCAATCCGGGATCCCCTCGGCTGCACTTGCTCGGGGCTCCCCCCATGCTGCCAGAACGGTTGAAGGAGCCCCCGGGCCTCGGACCTAGGTTGGGTAACCCTGACCCGGTCCCCACCCCAGGGGTGCTCACCTGCCCTCCCCATTGCACCTGCCCTGCACCTATCCAGATGTTCCAACCTACCCCACACCTATCCAGATGTTCATACCTGCCTCACACCTATCCAGATGCTCTAATCTGCCCTGCACCTATCCAGATGTTCTGACCTGCCCCACACCTATCCAGATGTTCATACCTGCCTCACACCTATCCAGATACTCTAATCTGCCCTGCACCTATCCAGATGTTCTGACCTGCCCCACACCTATCCAGATGTTCATACCTGCCTCACACCTATCCAGATGTTCATACCTGCCTCACACCTATCCAGATGCTCTAACCTGCCCCACACCTATCCAGATGTTCTGACCTGCCCCAAACCTATCCAGATGCTCTAATCTGCCTCACACCTATCCAGATGTTCTGACCTGCCCTACACCTGTCCAGTTATTCTAACCTGCCCCACACCTATCCAGATGTTCTAACCTGCCCCACACTCCAGCTGTGCTCACCTGCCCTACCTCCCCCCCAGCTGTACCAGTTCACTCCCATTCCCCTTGCCTGCAGTGACACCTAGGTCCACAGCTTCCCCTTCCTCCTCGCTCCCTCTCACCTCTCTTCTCTCCTGCTCCCCCTGTCCCCACGGGCTCTGGCTGCCACCCCCCAGGCCTGGTCCTGACAATGGGGACTCCTGCCTCATGCTCTGCTTTTTTTACAAAAATAGATAAATTAATATAAACTTAAACATTAAAATAATAATTATATTAAAAAAAAAAAAGATATTAAATAGTGCCCTGTGTCACTGAGAGCCCCATGGCTGGGGGAAGCAGGTGCTGGCAAGGTGGTGAACCATGCAAGAGGGGCACTGAGGCAGAAAGTCCCCAGAGCCAGGATGATCCTGCTGCAACACAGCCCTGGAAGACAAAGGCTGAGGAACAGTAGAAGGGCCCCCCAGTTTGTGAACCTGCTTTGGGGGAGCTCCCTGGCACCCCCCTCCCCACCAACCCCAGCCTCAGCGTGGCTGGTTCAGCAGGACCTCAAGCCAGCACGGGCAGGAGGTGATGAACTGCCGGGAGTAGCAGGGTCCCCAACCCTTGGCAAAGCTGATGCGGATACTGTGGGGGTCACAGGGCCCCTCCCCAGGCAGCTGCCAGCCCCCTCTGCCCCCTGCCCACTCATAATCGAACACCTTTGCCGAGTAGCCGGGCAGCACCTTGAGGACAGGCAGCCCGCAGGCGCCGGGGGGGCTCAGGGTGGGCGAGCTGACGAAGATGGGGTGCTCGCTGCGGTTGTAGGCCCACACCCCCCCCGGCTCCTGGCTCAGCTGCAGCCCCCGGCCGATCTTGCCCCGGGCCCGGCGCACGGCGCAGCTGCGGTAGGCGGCGGGCAGCTGGGCCAGGCAGAAGCCGCTGCCCCGGGGCAGCTCGCAGAAAACGTTCACCGAGGCCTCGTGCACGGCGTAGAGGCGGCCCACGCGCGTCCGGTACTCCCAGTAAGCCAGTTTGCACCAACAGCCGTCCTTGATGGTGCTCCACGAGAGACTGGTGTCTGGCAAGGGGAGAGCAGAGCTGTCAGCAGCAGGATGTGACTGAGCCAAGCAGCTGGAAGGGCCGAGGGGAGTGGGCACAGAGGGTGTGTGAGGACAGACAGATGGACGTGGTGCATCAGGGATGCCTCAGTGCAGAGTCCTGCGCTGGGTGTGAGCCTCTGGAGCTGTTCCCAGTCCCCGAGTACGGTGGTGAAGGGCTGGGGGAGGGCTGTCGGGGGGGGGTTGGTCCCTGAGTGCAGGGGAAGGTGGGGCAGTGGCAGCTGGTGGCCTTGGTGGCCAGCAGCCAGGCGGGAGCTGGGGCTGTGTGCGTCAAGGCACATTGTGTGTGTCCCCATAGGCAGCGCTTCCTCCAGCAGGGAGCCTGGTGCTGCCAAAAATAACAGGAGCTTCAGTGGCGGGGGGGCGTCTGGGCCCAGACCGCTCCCCCAGCAGGAACCCCTCATCCCCTGTCGGAGTCTTTTCCTCCTGCTGGGAGTGACTGCTGGCTCCATTCCCTGATTTTCATGTTCTGTCCTCTCCAATCTCTGCTTCTGACTCAGGGGTTCAGCCCTGCCCAGTGCCCTCCTGCCTGCTGGGTGTGGCAGAGGGCTGTGCCCTGTGTGTCTCCCAGCGTGCTGGGCGCATCTTACCGCACCAGTCCCCACCGTCGTAGCTGAACTCCATGAGCTGGGGCTCATCTGGCCAGGAGGGACCACAGGATGCCTTCAAGTAGGGGGGTGGTGGGGTTTCTGCAGAGGAGAGAGAAAGAAATAGGAGGCTGGGAGTGCATCCTGCCCCTCAGAGCCCACTGGAGCCCTGAGGCAGCCCCAGAGAGCAGGGGTCAGAGCCTGGGTGGGCGAGGCAGCCTCCAGTGTTGCCACCAGCACTCACCAGGTACAGCCAGGCGGCTGAAGTGATGGGGGTTGCAGCACAGCCCAGCCAAGTCCCCACAGGCTCCCTGGCCCCCAGCACAGTAGCAGAGGTGCTTGAGCTCATGGGACTGGTGGAGGTCAGGCCAGCGGAAGAGGCGGCAGAGCAGGACTTGAGGGGGGAGTCCCTGCTTGACCCCTCGTGGGTCCCCCCGTGGTGCCAAAACACAGCCAGACTCCCAGGCGCCCCTGCTCTCCACCACCTGCACCAGCAGCTCCAGCTCCTCATCCTTCAGCTTCTTGAAGAGGGCATGCACCGCTGGTTTGAGGGCAGCGGGGCCATCCTCGGGGCTGGCTGCTGCACAGCGCTGCCGCCACAGCCTCCGCACCAGCCCAGCACGGCGCGATCGGAACATGCGGTGGTCGTGGGGACCACCTGCAGGATGGAGACAGGCATCACCCCCCGTGCCCTCTGAGAGCTGTGGCTCCGGGGGGTCCCAATGGGCACCCTGTGCATCTCTCCCCGTGTCCACCCAGGTCCCTGGCAGGGCTGCTTTGCCTGGATTTGCTGCTGTCATCCCCACCTCATGCGGGCACGGTGCCGCTTTAAGGCATCCCCAAGGTCACATCAGACAGGAGCCCAAAAACAACCCTCACCGCTGGGGAACCTGCCTGTGCTCCTGCCCACAGCACCCACCCGCACCCTCTCACCCCCCCGTCTGTCATGGGGCTGGGAAAGGGGTCCCAGCAGAGGAGGGTCTCACTCACGGTGGGTGGTGGAGGTGGGTGAGAGGCTCCAGGGCACCGCATGGGGCTGTGCTCTCGGGGCGGCCGGCACTGCTCTGCCCGTCACGCGTCACTGCCTGGACTTTTTCCTGTGCTGGGACGCTCTCTCCCCTCCCCCGGACCTTCCCGTTTGGGGAATTCATTGATTTCCCTCATCCCAGCCAGCCCTGGGGCTGAGCCACCGCCAGGGCCACCACGTCAGGGCTACCACACCAGGACATGGCACAAGATGCGTGGGCTGCAGTGGTCAGGGATGCCCAGCACCGTGCTACCAAGGCAGCCAGGAGCCCAGAGAGCACCACAGACACCAGTGCACAACCACAGGGCAGGGTCCAGCTGAGAGCTGATCTGGGCAGGGGACACCACAAGGCAGAGTCTTTGCAGACCCCATCCCTACTCATGTCCTCAGAGGGATCATTACAAGGACCACCTAAGCCCCTCGTGGCATCTTGGGCAAGGGTTTCTGCTGCCCCTCAGATGTTGACCTGGCCGGGGCCCCCCCGCGGGCAGTGGGTGAGGGTGGGAGCCTGCTCCACAACAAAGGAGCTAATGTAAACGGGACCCTTATCCCGCGCCGGGCCAGGCTTCCTGCTCCTGACTTCCCGCCGAGATAAGGGAGGCCACGCTGGCGCCAGCGCTGCTGCCGAGGACGGGGCATGCAGAGCTTCCCCTGTGCTGGGGCCAGGCAGCAGCACAGGCAGCAGTGGGGCAGGGTGGGCTCACAGACCCACAGCCACTCCCTGGTGCTACAAGCCGTGACCTTTGCTGCAGCTCCCAGCCAGGCTGGGCCCATCGGAGATATTTTGCTCTAGCTGCTTCCCACAGAGTGAAATAGGAAACAGGCAGGAGTGGGGGAGCAGGCAGGAGATGCAGGCAGAACCCCAGCCCCCCATCTTGCCCCTTGGCCCCAAGGGATGTGGGGACCCTCAGTCCTGGACAGGGGCAAGGCGTGTGCTGGAGTGCCTTAGTGCTACCCAGGGCTAGGAACAGGAGGTTTGGGGACACACACACACACACAGACATTCCCAGAGCTCTGCCCAAACAGATGCAGCCAGTCAGGCACTGCTCAGGTTTATTGGGGTCTCTGATCAGGGAGAGCACAGGCTGGAGCAGTCTCAATGCCAGAGGTCCATCAGCTCCATCAGCACAGGGCAACAGGGACAGTCCTGGGGAGGGGAGAGAGGCACAGGGGGTAACAATCCACTGACCGGTACCAAGGCAACACCCTCTCAACCCCCAGAACTGCCACAGCCAGGCCCCTGTCATGTTCCAAGCACCATGTCAAGTCAAGCTGCAGGTAGGTCACTCACCCACAGCACCAGGGCAGGCAGGGGCTGACAGGGTCCTGGGACACTGGGAGGGTCCTTCCCTAGTCCAGCAGCTCACGGATGCACCAGCTGCAGAGAAGGAAGTAGATGCATTTCCACAGAAGCCGCAGGAACCAGGAGCCCAGGCGCAGCCCGAGGGAGGTGGCAGCGGGTGCTGGCAGTGCCAGGGCCTGTACCCGTGCCACTGGCTGGGGAGCACCCTGCAGACAGGCTGCCATGGTCCAGAGGATGTGCATGGCCCATGAGGAATCAGCAGGATCTGACACGCTGGGAGAGGCAGCAGTGCTGACGTGTGGGGCCCTGGCAAGCACTGGAACCTGCTACATTCTCTGCATTTCCAAAACTCCTACAATAGTGGGTGCAGGGAAGGGGGCACAACCTGGGGACCCTTTTGTTCCTCCCACTCCTGCCCCATGGAGCCCTCAGGGCTCAACAAGACCACGTGCCAGTGCAGTGCAGACTGCAGCAGGTTTATTTAGTGCTGACAGGCAGCAACTTTATTCAGGGTCACTCCCAGCAGCATTCCAGTGGAGGAGGCTCCCAGAACGTGGCCTTCACTGGCGGGAGGTGCGCTCTTCTTCCTCATTTTCCAGCTCATAGGCAGGCCTGTAGCTCTCCCGGCCCTGAGCATCGGTGCAGCGTAGGGCTGGGTTCTTCTTTGTGTTGGTCATGCTCCCCAGGGATGTGTAGCTGTGGAGGGAAGAAGCAGCTGCAGGACTGCACCCAGGGCCACTGGCTGTGCATGTGAGAAGGGCAGCAGTGGGCACTCACCCTCTGTCATAGAGGATACAGTAGGGGACAAAGAGCTTGCGCAGGAACTCCCAGATGTCCCGGTAGGTCCAGTCCTGCAGGCAGAATTGGGCAGGGATTGAGGCAGAGGCAAAAGGCTGCTCCCTTGCCTCCCAGGGAAGCAAGCCAGACCTTCCTGGAGAGCACCTGGGAGAGCCAATGGTCAGCAGAGCACCAGCACTCCTCCCAGCACCTCCCCAAACACAGGGCAACCCCCCAGGAGGCAAGAAGGAGCCCTGCCCAACAGCACCCAGCAGCATCACTGCAGCAAGGGGCACCCACAGCTGCACAGAGGGGCAGCAAATACTCTAGGGGGGTGAGAATGGTGAGAGAAGCTGTCCAGGATGGGGGTGGATCACTGCTGCTTCCCAGCCCCATCAGATCCCCCTGCCAGGCCCTGTGGCAACAGCTCCAGCCCCACAGCAGGTGGGGGCCACGTACCAGCAAGGGGTTCACCCGCATGTAAGGGGGCCAGTCGGGGTCTGTCACACACATGGGGGTCAGGGTGCGTGAGTAGGGGTCCGTGCGCCGCGTTCCCATCAGGACAGCTTCCAGCTGGGGCTGCTGCTCCTTCAGCTGCGCCAGGGCCTCCCGGATGGAGCCCTCCACAGTGCAGAGCTGGACCCCATACCTGCACAGGCAGGGTGGGCAGCTGTCTGCAGGCTGCACTGCACAGCCTCTGGGCAGCAGCCCACCCCACTGTGCCTCCTACCTCTGGACTGTTGCCTGAATGAACTGCTCCATTTCAGGGAATGGGGACACAATGCGGATGTAGAGCACCTGCAGCTTCTCCTGCCTCGCTGGGAACCGCCTGCAGAGAGACCCAGGGCAGCTGGACTCTGACCCATGGCAACTGGAGGCAAGGCAGTGTCCAGATCCGACCAGATAGAGCCCAGGAATCCACTCATTCCCCCAGGGTGGAGCAAGCAAGAGCCCCAGAGCCCTGGCCAGGGTCTGCAGGACCCCTAAGCCTTGCCCCAGCCTGGAGCCCCATGGGCAGGTACCTCTGCACAGCAGCATGGACGAGGTGCAGCAGGGCTGTGCAGTCCTTGCCCCCGTTGAAGCCCACGCAGAGCTGGACCAGACTGTACTGGTCCAAAGCCTCCTCGATGGTTCTCAGGGCTGCTGCCACCTTCTGCCCCAGGGCCGAGCCTGCCAGGACAGGACAGTTGGTGCCTGCCCAGCTCATGTTCCCTTAGCATGGCCCCAGGGCCTAGGGCACTTCACCCTCTGGAAACACAGCAGAGCCATTGCTGGTACCACAGCCAAGAGCTTGTTCAACCCAGAGATCTGGGCCACAATGTGACAGGGATCATGAGGACACGGGGAACTGTGGCACTGCAGCTACTGCTGCACACTGTGCTCTCAGACCCTGCCATCACCAGCCCTAATTGAGGTTACAGATCCCATTTCCACCCGTGTAGGATGAAGCCCACTGCAGCTGCAGCACGCCTCAAGCCTCCCAGCACACAACAGGCAAGCTCTGCTGCCAGGCTGGAGTTCCCACTACCCCAGCCCTGCTAGGCTGCACAGGGGAAGCACAGAGCTGTGCTGCAGCACCTCTTCCCAGTACCTGACTCAGCCAGGCCATAAACCTCCACAGCTGCTGGAGAGACACAGTCTGTCACCAACGGCACAGCAACACCCGGTGGCAGCTCCCTCATCAAGAAGCCATACGCTTCCTCCAGGTCCTGCTCTGACTCTGAGTCCAGGGTCAGCTTCACACGGTAGTAATTGCTGGTCCAGTCTGGGTACGAGCCCAAGCTGACGCGGCCCCGGAAGGTGGCATCAGCCCTGTCCAGCACCGGCGTGATGAGCATCTCATCAGATGCCACATAGACGGTGCGGGAGTGGAAATGGGTCTGTTTGCTGCGAAAGATGTGAGCGAGGCCATCCAGGGCCCGCTCCATCAGCGCCGGGATGCCGGGGAAGATGTAGACATTGTGCACACTGACCAGAGGGTACTTGAAAGCGCTGCCAGTGTGCCCGTCCGTGCCGTAGTTGAGGCGGGAGGACTCGGGGACGCGAGCCAGCTTCATTTCAGGGCACTGCTCCTCCGTCTTGCCAAAGAACTTGTGCACCAGTGCCACTAGCTTGGGATGGAGGATGACCCTCTCCCCAAAGGCCTTAGCCACGGCCTCGAAGGTCACATCGTCGTGCGTGGGGCCGATGCCGCCGGAGGTCAGCACGTAGGTGAAGCGAGCAGCAAAGGCGGCCACCTCGCTGGCGATGGCCTCCACATCATCGGGGACCACGGAGATGCGGGCGACACTCACGCCAAGAGCCCGCAGCCGCCGGCACATGAAGGAGGAGTTCGTGTCCTGCGTGTAGCCCTGAGGGGACCGCAGACGCCCGTGACAGCGGAGCGCCCCGACCCCAGGCCCCAGCCCGTCCCGTGCCCGCAGCCCAGGCCCGCCCGCGGCCGCACCTTGAGAATCTCGTCGCCGATGATGATGATGCCGGCGGTGCTGGCGGATCCCTGAGTCACCGCTGCCGGGCTCGAAGCGGCCATGAGGCGGCAGCCGGCAGCGCGCAGAGGCCCGCACACCCTCCCCGCAACCCGCAGCACCCCCCACATGGAGCCGCCCGGGCACCTCCGCACACCGCGACACCGCCCCGCGCGCTCACAGGCCGGCCCGCACGTCAGTCACAGGGCTCCGCCAGATCCCATTGGCCGAGAGGCGGGACCTGCGGGGACGGAACCATCGCAGGGCCGAAGGGAGGGGGTGTCGGCCGTGCCCGGCGGACCGGGGCACATCTCCTCTCCCGTGGGCGCGGAGAGCCTCCTCGGGAACCTCCGCGCGACCGGGACCCCTTCGCCCTCCAGCCCAGCTGCCCCCGGTACTGCAGACAGACAGCTCCCAAACATCACTTTATTGAAGCTTTGGAGGCATCGCAACGAGAAGGGCCCTCGGAACCGGGGCCGAGCCGACAAAACGACGCCCAAGCAGCGTCGAGGGTCAGGGGGTGAAGCCCCCGAGAAATGTCGAGAAGAAGAAGGAGAAAGGTGTTTTCTCAGAGTGGAAGGACTGGGAGCTTCGGCAGACCAGGGGCCACTCACTTTTCTGGCTTCTTCGGCAATGGCCGTCGGAAGAGCAGGATGTGGGGCTCTGCGGGGCAAAAGAAGGGGTCAGGCCGGGCCGCCTGGGCACCACCCGCTTCCCCGCGGGGCTCACCTGGCTCGTGGATCATGTAGTGGACCCAGCCCTGGCTCTGCTGCACGCCCAGGTTCCGCCACTCCGACTCCGACAGCAGGTGGGTCTTGGGCACCAGCTTGGCGATGTCCTTGGGCAGCATCACGTGCCTGCAGTCCCGCACCTCTCAGTCAACACCGGGGCACCCCCGACACCCCCTCATTCCCCACCGGAGAGCTGTTAACGGCACCAGCGCCGTGACCCGATACAGAACCCTCACCGGGACCTCCCCCCCCGAATCCCCCGAATTATCAGGATAATTCCCCTCTTGCCTCACCAGCGACTCGCCCCCCACTCCCCTCCCACTCGCGAGCCGTTAATCCTACGCTACCGAGGCATTTCCCTCCCTCACCGCAGCAAACCTTAACCGACACCCCCCTCATCCTTATCAAGCGGGCATTACCGGCACCCCTTCCCTGCTCCTTACCGGTACTCAAACTCCTCATCGTCGTACTTGTCCGAGTAGTAGATCTGTTTGTGCGCCATGACGGGACAGGCCCCGCCGTGCCCTCCCTCGGCGGCCGTTGGCGCCCCCGCCCCCCCGCGGTGCTTTCAAACACCGCCGCCTCGCGCTCCCATTGGCCAGAGCCGCGCCGCGACGGGGGGCGGGGCGGCTGCTCATTGGCCGCCGCGCTGCTTCCCGCGGGCCGGGCGCGGGCCGCGATTGGCTGGTGTGTGAGGGGGGAGTCACGTGGCGCGGGCGCGGCGGGGCCCACGCCGGAGGGGCGCGGGCCGGAAGTGAGTGGCGGTGAGGGCGGCGGGAGGGGGGGGGTGGGGGGAGCGGCGGAGAGCGAGGCCCGCGCGTGACCGATGGTGCCCGGTGAGCGCGCGCCGGCCGGGGCGGTGAGGGCGTGCGGACGGAGGAAGGGGTGGGAGGGGGGGAGACCCGTGTAAAGGGCCCGGGACTCCGGGCCAGGCCCCGCCGTGCCCCCCCGCGGCCGCTGTGTCGCCGGACTGAGGCCGCATCGCTCGCCGCCGCTTCGCCGCCGCTTTCCGCGGAACGAGTTGTGGGGGGTTCTGCCGCCGTCGCTCCCCGTGCTGTGAGAGCCGAGCCGCCCTTCCCAGCTGCCTCCTTCGCCCGGCGTGGGGCAGGCCCGGACCAGGGGGCGGAGGAGCGGTGCTGGGCCGTGCTGAGATCGGGGGTGACCCACCCGGCGTGGCGGCTGCTGCGTGTGCCTGGGGTCCCCACTCGGTGCCGGTGCGGTGCACGGGAAGGACACCGTGGGCTGTAGAGGCGCTGCAGGGTCCGGGGACAACCCCGAGGCTGGCACGACCTCCAGCAGGGACGGGGCATGGCTGGGTTTGGAGGGTTCCTCGTTCTCTGCGGTGCTGGGCTCTGCCCTCCCGCCTTCTGTGCTTCAGAGTAAGGCAGCAGTGAGTACCTGGAGCCTACCCAGCTGCTGTGGACAGGGGTAGCTGCTCCCCTTTGGAGATCTGTGTGTCTGCTCTCCAGCTGCGTGTTGTGTCCATCTGTTCTTGCTTCTCCCCTTGAATCTCTTAGATGGGGTCACCCACACAGATTATAGACCGTGGACACGGCTTCCAAGGAGATGTGACCTGGGCCCTGCTTGCCACGTTGGCGCTGCAGAAATCTGTGGGCAAAGGGCACTTCTTTTCCGTGTTTGCCGGGGCTGCCCTGGTGTCAGCCTGTACCAGAGGGGCTGAAGATGCCATCTCCTCTCAGCCAAGGAGGGCTTGAGGATCCACCCTGCTGCCCTTTGGTGGGGGAATCCCCTCTGGAGCTGTGCAAAGCAGTGTTCCACCCTGGGCAGGGGCACAAATGGGCTTTGGTAAGGCTGAGCACCCTGGCCCTGGGTCCAGATGCTCCTTCCCTGCCACCAGCCTCGGTGCCCTGGTCACCACCTCTGCTTGGCAGTGGTGTGGTGCTGCAGGGGTCAATCTCCATGGCCAAGCACAGCCTCCTTATCTTGCTGCTTTCCAAGCTGGTGGTGACAGCTGGCACAGGCAGATAAAGGTACAAGTGCTGCCAAGCAGTAAATCATGGCTGCTGCTCTACCAGCCCGGCCTTGACTGCCTCAGCTGGGCAGTGGCAGTGAGAGGAGTGAGAAAAGAGCTTTGCTTGCCTTGTTTTCCCCTCACAGAGCTTCCTGCCTCTGCCAGCTCACCCCTTGTAGACTCTTTCCATGACTTTTGTCTTTACTAGTCCCCTGGGAGGAAGGGACACAGCCCTGGGGGCTCTGTGTGTAATTTTGCATCAGGATGCCAGCTGAAGTGGTGCAGGAAGGGACAGCTCTGCCCCTCTGGTTGCCTTTGCTCTCCCTCCTTGCGTGTGGCTCTCCAGTACTGGTTTTAGGGCTGGACAGGGATCAGCTCCAGCACTTTCCTTGGGTCACAGAGTGACTCTAGGCCCCCAATACCATTTGCCAGTGTGGGCAGGGCCCAAGCAATGCCAGGCTCAGCCTGGTGTTCCTGTCCCAGCACGTCCCATCTCCATCTTCTTTCCAATGGCAAGAAGGCAGCTTCCAGATTTCTCCTGCTCTTTGGTGCCAGCAGCACGGCACAGCAGCCACAACCCCATCCACCTGTGGACAGCATATGGAGGAGCAGGGTCTGCCTCTTGGCACCATGGCCACCTCAGCAGGCTGGGACAGGGCTGCCTAACTCCCTGTTTGTCCCTGAACCACAGGTTGGAGTGCCAGACGAGAGGGGCTCTGTGTCTCTGCTCCCCGCCCGGGGCCTGCCCTGCCCTCCGCCGGCGATGGAGTATGTGGTAAGGACCTCGGTGGAGGGCTCAGTGGCTTCGGTGGTGGATCCTGCCTGCCTCCTCTGCCTTCTGGGAGGTCTCCAGCCTCTTCCCCACATCTCCACTGGTATCTCCTAACTCCCTCTTCAGAGTGAAGGAGAAGGTTGCGTGCAGGAATGTGTAAATGTTGTTCGATGCTGTTGTTGTGATGCGTGGGGGAAAAAATCAGCTGTTGGCTGGATCTGAGTGTTCTCCTTTGCTTCACTCCTGCCTCAGAGGTTCAGCATTGGACAGAGGGGGTCTCCTGCCCAGGGTCAGGTTTGTATGTGTGGCCACCTGCACCTTGCTGTGATTTCTTGCCAAACCTCTGGTGTGTTCCAGGCCTCTGACTCAGCTCCCAGGTTTTTTCCAGGGAGGATGCTGTTAGTGGAGCCCTGAGCATCCCCACTCTGCTTCTCTTCCTTGCCCCAGCTGCTGTGTGAATTCCCAGTCTCAGGTGCCTGAAAGTAGCCCACATCCCTCTGTTCCTCATGATCCAGATCTTTCTGTGGTGGCAGGGCACATGGAGCAGGACATGTCCCCAGAGCTCCTCAGGGACAGTTGCTCCAGCTGCTCTGCTCATCCTCTGCTGCAGGGACAGGAGCTTCTGGCATCTTCCTGGCAAAGGGAAGGGCTGCAGCCTGGGGATGGGGCTTGGGACTGCCTGTTCAGGCAGTTCTGCACCTTTGCACATCTCCAGGTTTGCCTTCTGCACTCAGAGCCCACTGAGGGGGAGCTCTGATGCCCTGGGGTGGACTCTGGGGCTGGGGGGGTGCTGTGATGGTAGCACCTCTGGTCTCCAAGGGCTGGGAGCTGCCATGCACCTTGTAACAAGCTCTTACAGACTGGCCTGGAAGGTTCTGAGAAAATCAGGAATTATTTTAGCTTCTAAGAGCAGAGATGTGTCTGAGCAGGAGCTTCAGCTGGGAGGCTCATCAGCCCTTTGCTGCCTGGAGGTGATGGCTGCTGGTGGAAAGGGGCCAAGGGAACTCTCCTGCCCCCTTGCAATTCCCTCCTGCTCTCATCCTGGGAAGCATCAGGGCTCACAGAGCTGCTGTGCCAGGCAAGCCCAAGCCCACATCAACCCTTTTGTCCATCGTGGGCAAATCCCAGTGCTCTGTGGCCACTTGATGCTGCCCAGCCAGGCTCCCCTGGCAACAGGGCTGCACTGGCCCCTCACCGGGCCAGCAACTTCCTGCCTCCGGGCTTCCTGCTTTTCTTTAGAGGAGTGGTGCTGCGGCCACAGGAAGGTCACAGCACTGACTGAGCAGCCAGGGGCCCCTGGAGGGGACAGGCAGTGTGTGGAACAGCCAGCACAGGCTCTCTGTGCCTGTGGGACCACCTTGGCTGAGCTGGGTGGGGGGCATGGCCAAGGAGATGCTTCAGGGATGGCCCCACTCGTGTGTGCCACAGCCCCTCGTATCACAGAGGTGGCAATTTCCAGCCCTCTCGTGGCTTTCCCTGTCCCCATGGCAGTGTGCCAGGCTTTCTGTGCCTGTGGGACCACCGTGGCTGAGCTGGGAGGGCTGGCTTTCACAGAGCTACTGTGCATGGCCAAGGAGATGCTTCAGCGATGGCCCCACTCGTGTGTGCCACAGCCCCTCGCATCACGGAGGTGGCAATTTCCAGCCCCCTGTGCCCATGGCAGTGTGCCAGGCTCTGTGAAGTGGGGCAGGCAGCTGCCAGTGCCAAGCAGTGCTGGATGAAGGCTGCAAGCAGGCAGAGCCTTTTCCTTGGCCTGGATTTATCCAGTTTTGGTTTGGTGGACAGAGCACCTGGTGGTTCGGAAGGATCTGGCTTGTGGTGTGTCAGGGCTTGGGTTCTGTCTGAACTCCTTGCCTCATCCTAGAGGGGATGGGGGAGAGCTCTCATCCCTCCCTGGGGCCAGGGCTGGCCCAAGTTCCTGCTGCGTGCAAGTGCGCCGAGGACAGGGCAACAAGGGAGAGCTGCCCCTGAGCCCCCTGATCCACAGGTGGGAGTTTCACCCAGCTCCCCGAGGCTGAAGGGGCCAACTTTTCCCCTTCACGGCACGTTCTTGCCGCCCTCTCCCGCTAGCTCCGCCTGTGACCTTGATTTTTCTGCTCCAGATAAGCGCTGCGTCCCCACCCCTCGCCGGGAGCCCCTCCTGCGCTGCCGCCCCAGCCCCAGCGCAGCCCGCGCCGCGGGCAGAGCCTGCCCCGCCGCCTGTGAGTCAGCACAGCTCTTCCCATCAGCCGCAGCCCCTCCATCTCTTCTCGCAGGAGGAGCAGCTGGGCATGCGGGAAGCGGCAGCGATTCGCTGCAGCCTCTCCCACGGGCTCCCCACCACGGCTGGGGGTTTGTGCTGAGCCCTGCCTTACCTGTATCCTGCTCCTGGCCGTCCTCCTCTTTCTCCCAGCAGCCCTCCAGGCAAGATCTGTGCTCTCAAAAGGACTGCATGTCCCCGTATTCCAGGAAGCTGCGAGCACCGGTGTCATCTCAGCATCGCTGCTCCCCCCCGGCAGAGCCCGGCAAGCCAACAGCAGCTGCTCGCCGCCGGCACGTGGGTTGGGTGGCGCTGGCTGCCACACAAGGACCTTGTTCCCTCCTGGACAGTGCTCGGAGCAGGGCTGGGATGGGCTTGGATGCGCTCTGTGTCTGCCTCATCTCCGGGCTTTAAATATTCATGCTTTTGATTTCCTCTTAGCGGGCAGCGGCGCGGGGGCTGGAGCGAGCTGTGGGGTGGAAAAGGGTGGCCGTGCCGAGCCCAGCAGCAGGGCAGAGGGAGCTGGAGCTGGATGAAGACAATGGGTTTTGTTGCTGGCTCGGTGTTGAAGTGGCAAAGGGCTTGAGGACCTCCAGGCTGAGCCCAGAGCACTCTGAGCTCCCCTCCCTGTGCCGGCAGCTCCGCGGCCCCGTTTCCTCCCTGCTGTAGCGTGTTGCTCTCAGCCTGAACGGATCTGCACATCCTTCTGCCACTGATCAGGACTGATCAGCTGTGCCAGGCAGCCCCTGGACCTGCTGCCAGGCCCAGCCCTCCCTGCCAGCCATGTGGGGCTGGCGTGGATCTAGCACAGAGTTCAGCCAAGGCTTCTGCTTGGGGGCAGCTTCCCGGCGGCTGCAGGCACTCGGACTCTCTGCAGGGCCCCTGTGAGGCCCAGCTGGCTGCATCCACCCCACTGCCACTCGGGACAGGGCGGCTGTGGCTCTTCTCACCTGCCTCCAGCATGGATCTCCTGCAAAAGAGCAAATACAGCCACCTGAGGAATGAATCTGTCTCCTCTCCGGAGGAGGCCATGGCAGGCCTGGGAGTCCTGCCCTCCCCAGTGGAGTCCCTTGCCAGCACGCAGTCTCTGCCTGGTTCCCTGTCCTCCTCCTCCCTCAGCCACGCTGCGCCTCTCGTGGAGCTCTCACCTGAGTTGGACGAGAGCCCTACCACCCTCTGCTCCTTCTTCCCCAAAATGGCCAACCTGAAGCTCTCCAATCCCGCCAACTTGCTCAGCTTGCGGGGCTCTGCAGCCAGCAGCAGCCCAGGGGAGCCTGGTCCCCCTGGGATGCCAGCACTAGTGCCAGGGGGTGGTGCCAGCCCTGGCTCAGGGAGGCCTGTCACTGTCTGTTCCCAGGATATGAACAAGCTGAGCTGTGGGAAGAAGACGCGGGTGGAAGGCGGCCAGCTGGGGGGTGATGAGTGGACGCGCCACGGCAGCTTTGTCAATAAACCCACCCGTGGCTGGCTGCATCCAGATGACAAGGTCATGGGCTCTGGGGTCTCCTACCATGTCCGGGTGAGTGCTGGGGACACTGGGAAGGGTCACTGTGGGGATTTGGGGACTTCCTGGTGGGAGGATGCACCAAGATCTTTGGGAGGGGTGGGGGACAGGGTGGGGCAGTGGGATTCCTGGGGAAGTGACTGCTCTGAGCTGGGGTGCTTGGGGGGACAAACTCCATGGCTGGCCAAGCTCACCTTGCTCTCTTGCACAGTACATGGGCTGTGTGGAAGTGCTCCAGTCCATGAGGGCTCTGGATTTCAACACCAGGACACAGGTGACCAGGTGAGCTCTGCCTCTCCCCCAGGGCTGCTCTTTTTGGGGAGAGGTGAGGAAGTTGCCTGGGCCTTTCAGTGGGGGCCAGGGGCTGCTGCAGCCCATCAAACACTAATTCCAGTGCACTGTGCCCACCCAAAGAGCCCCACTTTGCCTGAGAGCTTCCATTTTGTCACCCTGTCTCTCCTGTGCTGACCCCTGTGTCCCCACTGTCCCGAGTGCTGTGTTTGGGGGGGTCTTGGGGCAAGGCAGGCACTGTGGGGGGCTGACATTTCACTGCACTCCCTGCAGGGAGGCCATTGGGCTGGTATGCGAGGCTGTGCCTGGTGCCAAGGGAGCCGTGAGGAGGAGGAAGGTGAGGCCTGGCTGGGAAGCTGCTGGGGGAGCGTTTGTGGCTGGTTTGGGCACAGGGCCAAGGACCAGATCCCAGCCCAGCTGGCAGTGCTGTGCTGGTCAGCCCAGGGCTCTGATCTCCCAGCTGAGGTTTGGATCAGGGCCACTGGTGAGGACAAGGTGCCCATCTCTGCTGTGGAAGCAGTGGGATGTGCTCTGTCCTCCTGCTGCTGGGCTCTCTGCTCTGGGGAGCCCTTTCTCTATGCCACCATTTGCCCCTAGCCCTGCAGCCGCTCCCTGAACTCCATCCTGGGCAAGAGCAACCTGAAGTTTGCAGGCATGCCCATCACCCTGACCATCTCCACCAGCAGCCTCAACCTCATGGCCTCAGACTGCAAGCAGGTGAGAATGGGGAGGGGTTGGCTTGGCTTTGGACAGGCAGGAATCCTCATGGAGCTCAGATCTTGCTGGGGCAGGGGATGCCCCCAGCCTCCCCAGGAAATGTCTGGGTGGGCTGTGAGATGGGTGCTCACCTCCCCACAGTGCCTGGGGCTGAAGAGGTGGGAGGAATATCCCATGTGCTTTGTGGGATCTTTCCTGGAGGCTGTGGGACCCAAATCCCCTTGATCTCCTGGTTTTGACCCCAGTCCTGGTGATGTCCCAGTCCTTTTCCTGGTGGTCTGTGGCTCATAACTAGGGCTCTGGAGGATTTTGAGCCCCCATGGCAGGTCAGCCCTGGGGAGGAGTGGGATGTGCCACCCCTGGGTGGGTGACAAGGAACTCCTGGCTGTGTCCAACAAACTCTCCACCTTGCAGATCATCGCCAACCACCACATGCAGTCGATTTCCTTCGCATCAGGGGGAGACCCGGTGAGTACCTGGCAGGGTCCCCATCCGTGCCCTCTGCCCAGTGCTCCCCAGCAGCCCCAGCCTCACTGCTGCTGTCTCACCCACAGGACACAGCTGAATACGTTGCCTACGTTGCCAAAGACCCCGTCAATCAGAGAGGTGAGGGTGCTGCAAGGGTCCTCGATGCCAAAGCCCCACTTTGGAGGTGTCGAGGATCAGCTCAACGTAGTGGGGGAGCTGGGTGACCCCTAAGAAAGCTCTGGGGTGTACAGGGCAGGCTCAGGGGTGGAGAACCTTGGTGCTGGAGTTGCACAATCCCACTCCTCCCTTTTCTACCCAGCCTGTCATATCCTGGAGTGTCCTGAAGGCTTGGCCCAGGATGTGATCAGCACCATCGGGCAGGCCTTCGAGCTGCGCTTCAAGCAGTACCTGAAGAACCCTCCAAAGCTGGTGACACCCCACGACAGGTCAGAGCAGGGTGCTGTGACAAGGACAAAGGTGGCTTTGGAGAGGGGGGGATGCAGCCCTGGCTGCTGTCACGGGCTTACCTGTGCTGTGCTCCCCCAGGATGGCAGGGTTTGATGGCTCTGCCTGGGATGAAGAAGAGGAGGAACCAGCTCCAGATCACCAGTACTACAACGACTTCCCTGGCAAGGAGCCTCCCATTGGGGGGGTCGTGGACATGCGGCTGCAGGATGGGGCTGCTCAGACCCCGAATCACTTGGGTGCCACGCTGGTGAGGCTCTGGGCACATCCTCTCGGGGAGGCACCATCTTGTAAGGGAGATGTAGGGACCCTAAATGGGCCGTGGGTTCTGCTGAAGGTTATTTGTGCCTCCTCAGTGTCTCTGGGGTGTGGGGAGCAGGAAGGGGGATGAGCAGGAAAAGGGGATGGGGGCTCATCACTGCCTCTCCCTGCAGCCTGTTGGCCAATCCGGTGGGGAGTTTGACCCGCAGAAGCAGCACGCTCCTGCCCAAGGTAATGTGGTGGGTGTCTCCATCCTCTCCCATGGACCCCCAGTGCTCTGATGGGGGGGGGGGGGCAAGGTGGGCTGAAGCCCACCCTGCTGACCACAGTGCTCCTGCTAGCAGGGAGAGAGAAGTACCCGGCTCCAGCAGGCACAGCTGGGCGCACAGACCTCTTTGATGACCCGTCCTACGTCAACGTGCAGAACATAGACAAGACAAGACAAGCTCCAGCTGCCAGCAGCCCTGCCACAGCCAACGGCAGCACACAGAGGGACCTCTTTGACATGAGTGAGTGAACGGTGTCTCTGCAGCCAGGGCTGGGCAGAAGTGGCTCTGGGCTTGGTTATGGTCCCCCTGCTCCTGGATTAGGAGTCTCCTTCAGCCAGGTCTCGTAAGCTCTTGGAGATTTATATCACACCCAAGATAGCTCAGCTACCTTAGAAAGCATAAAATCAGCAGGATGGCTTCTGTGGCAGTATTGGAAACAGAAAAGTTTTAATAAAAGGCAAAATAAGAAACTCTTTACAGAGAAAAACCGATCCAAGTACAAGAAGCCCTCCTGCCTCTAGTAAAACACCTCACAAAAGCAATTAATTTCTTTGTTCTCTTCTTTTTCTAAAGAGAAAGTAAAATTTTATAAAGAGAAAGTAAATTGCCCAAGCAAGACTTTTAAGCTCCAATTACCTATCCTTAAGTTTGAAGTGAAATCCTCCAAGTCCTATGAGATGCCTTTTCACTTAATCCAAAATAGAAACTCCTAAGCTTATTTCCTTTCTAAAAGGACAAAGGATAATTTTGTCACTCCCTCAACAAGAGGCACATTCCTACAAAGCTCCTCTGTCCTTGCAGAGCCCTTTGAAGATGCCCTGCGTGTGCCCCCCTCTGTGCCTGTGGGGCTGCCCCCTGCCCAGGTTGTGGCCTCCATGGAGGAGCAGCTGAGGAGGGAGCCCTGGTACCATGGCAAAATGAGCCGCAAGGAGGCCGAGAAGCTGCTGAAGGTCAACGGGGACTTCCTGGTGAGGGAGAGCACCACCACCCCGGGCCAGTATGTGCTGACTGGCTTGCAGGGTGGGCAGCCCAAGCATCTGCTGCTCGTGGATCCCGAGGGAGTGGTGAGTCCACGTAGGGGATGGAGCTTGGGGCAGCATGGGCAAACTCCTCAGACTCAGTGAAGCACTCACACCAGATGCCTTTGCATCCTCTCAGCAGCTGGAGGGCTGATCCCTGAGGGCTGGGGCTATCAGCCCAGAATCAGTTAGTGCCATTTCTCAGTGGTTCTCCAAGTACAGCAGAAGTTGGAGCTCTCTGGCTCTGGCAGGTGCTGAGCAGGGCCAGCTCTGCACCAGGGGGCTCAAAGGGGCAGCACAGGGCAGTCCTAGGGGTTACAAGAGCCACCAGAGCACTGGGGTTCTGCACTGCTGTGCTGGCTTTGGGGATGGGCAGAGCATGGGTTGGAGACTGCAGTGGCAGCTGTGGCCTCACGTGGGCACTGACAGCGTCCCGAGTGCCCATTTTCTGTCCCCCCAGGTGAGGACAAAAGATCATCGCTTTGAGAGCGTCAGCCACCTCATCAGCTACCACATGGACAATCACCTGCCCATCATCTCAGCCGGCAGTGAGATGTGCCTGCAGCAGCCCGTGGAGAGGAGACTGTGAGCGCCCGGGGACCCCAGCGCACGGCACCCCCAAAGCGCAGCCCTCCGGCCGTGTTCCGTGCCCCAGGGAGCCCTCAGACTCTGCAGGTGCTCCACCCAGGACTGAGCATGGACTTGCCTGAGGACAGGGCCTCTCTCCTTTCACCACGTGGAGCTGGTGGCCTTGGGGGGCTCAGGCTGTGAGTGCCTGCAGGGTAGGGAACCGTTCTTGCAAAGCCTCTCCAGCTCCAGCCTTTGCAGAGCAGCTCAGCTCCTACCAAAATCCAGCCCTGCTGCTGTGCCACAGCCGTTCTTGTGCTCACCAGCACGGGCTCAGGACTGGCAGGGCTGAGCCCCCCTGAGCCAGAGGCAGCCTGTCCTTATCTCTGGCCCCTGGGCCCAAGGAGGGTGCCCGTGGGGGGCTCTGCTCCCCCAAGCACGAGGCCCTCGACTGTACCGGATCACTTTACGTGTTAACTCTGTGCCTTGACCCCGCAGGTCCCACACTCTTATGCAAGGGCAGGGGCTGGTTACAGAGCCTCCCCCGTGCTCCCAGCACCCTGTACCCCCTCCGTGACATGCTTGTGCTCCAGGACACGTTGCCACCATGTCCCCTTCCCTCCCTGCCCATCCCGGCTGGGCAAGGGCAGCTCCGGGCAGCCCCGGGGGGTTGGCGGGAGGACCCCCCTGCATGCACAGTGTAACTCCCCCAAGCCAAAGCGCAGCCTCGCAGCCCCTGCCCCACTATACCAAAGGAACTGGCGGTTGTATTAAAGTTGGTATTTCTCTAGGTCCTGGCTGGTGTGAGCTGGGAGGGGTCGCTGTGGGCGGGTGGTTCATCCCTGTGCGCCCCCCGGGAGCTCGTACGTGGTTTGTCCCGTCTGCTCCCCCTCCCCTCTCATTGTGCCGCATTTGGTTTGGTCCGACTGGCGGGTGGGGCGGGAGCCTGCGGTGATTGACACGTCTGGCGCGCCTCGCCCCGCCCCTCCCGCGCGCTGTGATTGGCCCCGTGCGGGTTCCGGTTCCGCTCGGGCCATGGCGGCGACGCGCGCGCTGTGAGGGCTATGGCGGCCCCTCACGCAGAGAAGCTGGAGGGAGCGGTCCCGGCCCCGCCGGCCCCGCCGGGGCCCCCGCACCCCGCGGGCAGCGCTGCCGCCGGCGGGCCCGGCCGGAAGCAGGGCAAGGCAGGTGAGCGCGGGGGGACCGGGGTCGGGGTTGGGGTGGGTGGAGGTCTCCGCGGCTCCGCTGACGCGGCCTCGCTTGTCCCCGCAGGGCTGCAGATGAAGAGCCCCGAGAAGAAGCGGCGCAAATCGAACACGCAGGTAGGGCCGGGCTCGGGGCGGCGCGGGGGCCGGGGACGAGCCGCAGCAAGCCTGACCGCCACCTTCTCCCTGCAGGGCCCTGCCTACTCGCACCTCTCGGAGTTCGCCCCGCCGCCCACCCCCATGGTGGATCACCTGGTGGCTTCCAACCCCTTCGAGGATGATTTCGGGGCCCCCAAGGTGGGCGCGGCGCCCGCCCCCTTCCTGGGCAGCCCGGTCCCGTTCGGCGGTTTCCGCATGCAGGGGGGAATGTCGCCGCAGGTGCCCCCTGGTTACGGCGGTGGTCCCCAGTCCCTGCGGAGGCAGCCGCCGCCGTTCGCCCCCGGGCAGATGGGCCCGGCCTTTAGCATGCCCCCCCAGAATCCAAACTACGTGCAGCCGGGGGGCTTGAGCTTCGCCGGGCAGCCCTTCAGCCAGCCCCTCGGACAGAACTTCAGCCCCCCTATGGGGCAGCTCATGCAGGGGCCCGTTGGGGGCTTCGGGCCCATGATGTCCCCCACTATGGGGCAGCCCCCGCGGGGGGAAATGGGACCGGGGCCAGCCCTCAACCCCCCCGGGGGGCCAGCGGTGCCTCAGCGCTTCAGCCAGCCCAGCAACCTCTTTGGACAGTCGCCCATGCAGCGCCCCGGGCAGAACATGCCCCCGCTGCCCCCTACAGCCAGTCCCTTCCCTGGGGCGGATCCCGGCTTCCCCGCTAGCAGCGAGGAGGGGGGCAAGAACCCTCCCCCCAGCACCTTCGCCCAGGAGCAGCACTCGGGCTCGCCCGCCACCGTCAACGGGGCCCAGCCCGGCTTCGCCCCCAACAGCGGCGGCCGCGGCGCCGGCACCCCCGAGAGCAACAGCCTCCCCCTGCCGGCCCCCGGCAAGGCCGGCAGCGCCTCGGGCCACCAGCCGCCCCCGGGGCTCGTCTACCCCTGCGGGGCCTGCCGCAACGAGGTGAACGACGACCAGGACGCCATCCTGTGCGAGGCCTCCTGCCAGAAGTGGTTCCACCGGGAGTGCACGGGCATGACCGAGAACGCCTACGGGCTGCTCACCACTGAGGCCTCCGCCGTCTGGGCCTGCGACTTCTGCCTCAAGACGAAGGAGATCCAGTCGGTCTACATCCGGGAGGGCATGGGACAGCTGGTGACCGCCAACGACGGCTGAGCCACCCTTCAGCCGCCATGTACAGCTTTCCCCACACTGATTTAGGACCAAACACCCGTTTTTTGTAGCTGTCACCCCCCCCTGCCAGCCAGAGAGCCACTGCTATGCACTGGCTGTGGCTGCTCACCGGGCACTGCCTGGCACCGGGACCTTCCAGGGGACCGGGGACGCTGCTGGCCGTGCCGGTGTCAGCCCTTTGGTCCCGGTGTACCGGCTCACTGAGGGCTGGGGCTTCCTGGTGCTTTACAGTGCTGCCCCCATTTGGGTCATTACCCTTGCAGGGGGCACCTCCCGGGCTGTGCAGCCCTCCTGGTGTGTCCCGTTTCACATTCACGGGGCAGAGTCCCGGTACCCCCTGCTCCGGTGGTCGGGATGCTCCCAGTACCCGCTCCCCCACCCCAGGTCCGTCCGTTTTAACCAACCGTTAATGGAAATTTTTGTACCGTCGTTATAAAACTCTGAAACGCGCGTGTCCGTGTCTGTCCGGGGCTGTCGGTGTCTGTCCGGTACCGGGTTTGGGGGGATTGGGGGGGGGGGGCGGTGTTCGGTACCGGCCGCTGTCCCCGCCCCTTTCCTCGCGACGCTGCGCCGCGGGCTGTGATTGGCTGCCGCTGTCACGTGCGCGGGGGCGGTGGCGGCGGCCCCGGGGAAAGTTCCCGGCGGGACGCGGCGGGCGCAGGTACCGGGAGCGGCGGGAGCGCTGCCCCTGCCGGGCCCAACCGAGCCAGGACGGGGCTGAGGGCGCGGGCACAGCTCGGAGAGGCCGTGGGAAGCGGAGAGGAGGGGGTTGTCAGCCACCGGGCCGGTTCTGAGTCCCGGACGGGGAACCGGGAGGGGAAGAGAGGGACGAGGGCCGCTCGAGACCCCCGTCCGGTGTTGCCGCTTTGCTGTGGGGCGGTGGGATCCCGACCGGGGCCCCTGGTTCCCCCACGCCGGGCCCTGCGGCTCCCGTCCACCTGCTGGGTCGCATCACCGGCTAAAAATACCCCGCGGCGGCAGCTGGTGGCAGGGGGGAGCAGCCCAGAGCCGGTGCACCGGGACGGCTCCCTGAAAGCCTCCCAGCTACAGGCTGGAGGGACGGGCTGGCACCGGGACCCAGGCTCTCCCGGTCACATCCAGCCGGTCCTGGGAGCTGGGTCGTGTCCCGGTGTCCGTGTGTCCGCCCGTCTGTCCCCTTGCAGGTAGCGCTGGACTGTCCCTATGGCGGAGAAATTGGATTCCCGGGATTCAGAGAGCAACTGGGTGCTGGCGGGCGGTGAGGTGAGGGCTTGCAACCCCTAGAGCAGACCCTCACTGCTTGAGATATCCAGGGCAACATCCCAGACCTGGGACCCCATGCCTTGGGGGCAGCCCCCCAGAGCTGGAGACCCCCGGGCACACCCCACAGTGCCCACCTGGGGCTGCAGGCAGAGTGGGCACGTGGAAGTTGGGGCTAAAAGTGTCTCCCTATGTACCCCCTCCCCTAGGGTCTGCCCATTGACACGGTGGGTCCAGAGCAGGACTCAGCCTCCCACGGGTCTGACGATGAGGAACTGGAGGAGGAGGAGGATGAAGGCAACCAGGACACAGTCACAGGCAGGCAGCCAACAGGGGTATGGGGCAAGCCTGGTGTCACCTTCCTGTGCCACTGTCTCATGACCTTGCTCTGCCTCTCCCCAGCTGTGACTGCCAATGGTGCCACCACCTTCCCCAGGCAGACCTTGTGCCCTGAGGGCAGCGGGCAGGGGGTGAGTCAGACCTGGGGGCTGGGGGTGAGCTGGAACTGCTGGGCTGCTCCCCACACAGAGATACCCCATGTGCCAGAGCCTGTGTCTGCAGGACCCAGAGCAATGTGAGGACTCCAAGGCACGGGCAGAGCCTGCCCTGGATGGCTCTGCAGAGCCCAGCGTGTTGGAGGGCGATGAGCAGGAGGAGCTGGATGCTGAGGCTGAGCCACAACCCCGCCCTGACACCCCCCCAGCAGGTCAGGCCTCACAGGGGACTGGCCTGGGGGAATCTCTGCTGGCAGTATTTAGGTGTAGACCCTCCCTGGAGGTTCCCCCCATCTCCCCCTAGGGCCAACAATGGAGGACGTGTCCTGCACCAGCAGTGACGATAACATGGAGGGGCTGCGGTGGAGGCCGGGCCACAAGCCCCGTCCTGAGCCCACCACTGTCACACCTGCCCCACAACGGGGGACACCAGACACTGGTGATGATGGGCTCAGTATGAGCACGTACCTGCTGGGGGCCTTGGCCGTGGTTGTTGTGGGGCTGCTGATCATCACTGGTAAGTGGGGTCCCAGTGGCCAAGGCCCCAGGGACAGGGGAGGGTCCAGACGTCCCCCTCATTGTCCCCTCCTCTCCCCAGGTGGTATCTACGACGTGGCAGATGGTGAGTAGAGGTGACATGGGCAGGGGGACATCTCACAGCAGCCTGGACATTCAGACCTGTGTCCTTCTCTGCAGGCCCCGTGGAGAGTGTGGGGAGCTGGGACTTGGCTGCTGGGGAGCAGGAGTCACTGCTGTCCATAGACAGCAATGTAAGGAGGGGTCCCAAGCAGGTGTGAGTGAGGGCAGAGGGTGTCCTCAACGCCCCCAGGGCTCCCAACCTTCCTGTCCTCCAGGACTCGCAGCAGCAGCCCCCTCTGCCAGATGATGGGGGCCCGCAGAGCATGCAGTCCATGAGCCAGCTCCTGGACAAGCTGGCCAAAGAGAACCAGGAGATCCGGCTCATGCAGGCAGAGCTACAGGTTGGTGGTGCCCATTACACCTCTGAGCTGCATCCCGGTGCTTCTATCCCGCTGCCACCTCTTTCACAGCCTCCCACCCCTGCCCCAGGCCCACAAGGAAGATCTGCAGGCGCTGCTGCACAAGAGCGAGGGCGAGGCGGCGGCGGCCGGGGCGCAGCAGCAGAGCCTGGCCGCGGAGAACGCGCGGCTGCGCGCGGCGCTGGAGCGCGAGGTGACGGCGCTGCGCCAGGCCCAGGCTGAGCTGCGGCGCCTGCAGGCCACGGGGGACCCTGGCAGCCCCAGGGAGCCACGGGCAGAGCAGCCACGTGCCACGGGTGTGCCAGGGCATGGCAGAGCCACGGCGCGGCGGCACAGCAGCCTGGACTCGCTGCGGCAGGAGCTGGCGGAGACCCTGGACCGTGTGCGGGGCTCTGGGGATCTCAAGGGGCTCGTGGAGGAACTGAGCGCCCTGGAGCAGCACCTGGCCCAGGTGATGGAGGCAGACAGGTCCTTCTCCACACCCTGGAAGAAGCCATCCAAGGTGGAGAAGGAGAGCAAGTGGCACAAGCAGCACGGCGCCAGGGGATCCCCCCATGAGCAGGAGAGGAGAGAGCAGGGCAAACACCACAAAAAGGAGCCCCGAGGCCCCCGTGAGCACAAGCCAGGCAAAGCCTGGGGGAAGCCATCTCACAGCCACCCCTGGCACGATTCCCATGAGCTGCCCTGGCACAAGCGGTACCGGGCACCGCAGGGCTGTTCTGGGGTGACCGACTGTGCCCACAAGGAGGGCCGGGAAGTGCTTGGGGTTGCCCTGGAGCCGGTGCAGAAGGCGCAGTTCCTGCAACTGCTGCAGAGCTTCATGGGGCAGCTGGGCTTGGGGAGACAATTTGGGAGGCTGGCACCCCAGCTCGATGGGGCCTTCAGGGCTGATGGTGTCTTTGCCCACGACCGCCTGCGGTTCGTGGATTTTGTGGATGATGTGGAGGATCTGCTTGAGGATGTGGCGTGGCAGGAACAGGGTGACAAGAAGGCGGCTGACGGCTTCGAGGAGTACATGCTGCGGCACTATAGTGGGTGAGCTGGGGTGGGCAGTGCCAGGGGTCCCCAGGGATTCCCTCCTACTGCTGCCCATCACATTTTCCCTTCTCTTGCAGCACCTCCGGGAACGTGTGGAGCCAGAGAGCCCCAAGGCAGCATGGCACACGTGGGTAGAGCCAGCGGGGCAGTAGTGTGCCAGCACCCCTATGCAAGGGCTCCCCACATGCTGTTTATGGGGGTCTAGGGGTGACCCACACCCTGTAGGGCCAAGTAGGGCCACATCCCTAACCAAATGCACTGTGTGACGCTGCACTGCCACCATCAATAAAGTCACTGCTGGGCAGAGCTGTGTAGATGTGGGGAAAATGGGGGTGGGGGAAATGGAGGGTACTGAGGGAAGAGGGCTGGAAAAATGGGGGTTCAGAGGAGGCAGGGCATGTAAGGGGAGAGCAGATGGGACTGAAGTGCTGTGGAAAAAGAAGGTGCTGTGAGAGGGAAGGAAGGAGTGCAGGGAGGAGGAAGGGCTGCTGGGGGAGAGGGGGTGCTGATGAAAAGGTGGGGTAGAGGGGAATATGGTGTGTTGGAGGGGAAGGGGGTTGCTGGGGGAGAATAAAGGGTATTGAGGGTGCTGGGGGAAAATGATTTAGAGGAGGAACAGTGAAGAGGAAAGGGGAGTGCTGGAGAAAGTGAGGAGCAGTTGAAAAAGTGGGGTGCAGAGGGGGCATAAGGATGTTGAGGAGGAAGGGTGCTCAGAGAGAAAAGAGGCTACTGGGGGAAACGGATGCTGGCAGAAAGCGGGGTGCAGAAGAGGAGTAGGGATTGTGGGGGGAAGAGTCTGGGGAAATGCAGATGCTGGGAGAAGCAGGGTGCTGAGGAAAGGGAGCATCAGAGGAGAATGGAGGGTGTGGGGAGGAAGTGGGGGCACTGGGAGCAGGGGAGAGCAGGGGGCAGAGATGCAGAGGGGTGTGGGATACTGGGGGCAGAGGGGCAGAGGCGTGCGGGATACCGGGGGCAGAGGAGTGCCGGGGTGCGGGATACCGGGGGCAGAGGAGTGCCGGGTGCGGGATACCGGGGGCAGAGGAGTGCCGGGTACGGGATACCGGGGGCAGAACCCGCCGTGTCCCCGGGGCGGCCTCGCTGTTGTGCCGGCTCTGCCCGGCAGGGGGCGCCGTGAGACGCGCGGGCTGCCGGGGGCGGGGCCAGCGTGGGCGTGGCCGAGGGCGTGGTCAGGGGCGGGGCGGAGGCGCCGATGGCGGCGCCGCGCTCGGTGCTGCTGCTGAGCGGGAAGAGGAAATCGGGAAAGGATTTCGTGGCCGAGGAGCTGTGGAGCCGGTACCGGGACGGGCGGGACTGGGGCCGGGCGTGTGGGCGGGGAAGGCACGGCGGGCGGGGATGGTACCGGAGCACAGGGAGGCCGGGACTTGGCCGAGTAGAGGCGGTGCCAGTGCCCGTCCCGTTCGCCACTCTCCCACAGGCTGGGCCCTGATGTCTGCACCATTCTGCGCCTCTCCGGGCCCCTCAAGGAGCAATACGCCAAGGTACGGAGCCATGTCACAGCCGCCGAGCTGTACCGGGACACTGCCGTGCTGTGCCGTGCTGTGCCATCCCACGCTCGTACCGTGCCACACCATCCTGAGCTGTGCCAGGACACTGCTGTGCTGTGCTGTGCCATCCCACGCTCACACCGTGCCACACCGAGCCGTGCCGTGCCACACTGAGTTGTGCCAGGGCACATGTTCGCCTGTTCTCTGCCTTCCCTGCTGCACTGTGCTGTGCCATCTGATGCTTTGCCATGCTGTGCCATGCTGTGCCATGCTGTGCCATGCTGCACCACACCAAGCCATGCCAGCACATGCTGTGCCACGTTGTGCCATCCCACGGCCGTGCTGTACCACACCGTGCCGAGCTGTTGCGTGCTGTGCTGAGCCATCCCGTCCCTGTGCTGTGGCATGCCATGCCATGCCATGCCATGCCATGCCATGCCATGCCATGCCATGCCGTGTGCCCAGGCCATGCCATGCCATGCTGTGTGCCCAGGCCATGCCCACTGACCCTCCTTCCCCACAGGAGCACGGGCTGGACTTTGAGCGCCTCCTGGATGCCAGCGCCTACAAGGAGAGGTTCCGCCAAGACATGATCCGCTGGGGCGAGGAGAAGCGCCGCGCCGACCCCGGCTTCTTCTGCCGGGCCGCGGTGCAGGGGGCGCTGCAACCGGTCTGGGTGAGCACCGGGAGGGTACGGGACTCTGTGCCGGTGTGGGTGAGCTCTGGGACCCTGCAGCCGGTGTGGGTGAGCTCCGGGAGGGCACAGGGCCCTGTGCCAGTGTGGGTGAGCTCTGGGGGTGCTGCAGCTGCTGTGGGTGAGCTCTGGGAGGTGCACAGGGGCTCTGGGGGCACAGGCCGGGTGCTGATGGAGCCCTGTGCAGGTGGTGAGCGACACACGGCGCCTCTCAGACGTGGAGTGGTTCCGGGACGCCTACGGGGATGTGGTGCAGACCGTGAGGGTGGTGGCTACTGAGGAGACGAGGAAGAGGAGGAACTGGGTCTTTGTCACTGGTGAGCGAGGGAGGGGCAGCTTGGCCTATGTGACACCAAACCTGTCTGCTGCCTCCACTGCCCTTCCTTGGCAGTGGGAGCAGGAGGCTGGGGATCAAGGCTCCCCCACCTCTGGGGGGTGAGGCCGTGGTGGGGGCACAGGCAGACACATCCTGACCATCCCTGGGGCCTCCCTGGGCTCTGTGCTACCAGGGGTGGACGACGCTGAATCTGAGTGCGGCCTGGACCAGGGAGTGGCCTTTGACTGGGTGATCACCAATGACGGCGATGAGGCGGCTCTGGGCGAGCAGCTGGAGGAGCTGGTGCAGTCTCTCCACAGGAGCCTATAGCTCCATGTCTCTCCACTGGGGCTTGGGGACTGCCTCATCCCCCCAGCCCCTCAGCATCTCCACCTCCTGCTGCTGCTTCCTGTTCTGGAATAAAGCTCTGACTTCTGGGAAGTGCTGCCACGCTGGGCCTGTGTCTCATTTCTGGGGAAGGGACACACAAGGTGATCCTGCCCCATGCCCACCACAGGTTTCCCAGCTTTCAGGAGGCAGAACTTCTGTCCTGCAGTTCTGTCTAAGCAGAGGGTCACCAGCTGGATGTCTCATGGTGTCTTTTAATAAGGTTTCTAGCAGCCAATTCCCTACAGATTATCTGCTTCCCAAACTCGTACACTCACATCTGCTCCTCCCCTGCAACAGCTGGGCACGGCAGGGGCTGGGGGTGCCTGGGTGGGCTGGGGGTTTTGAGGGGGGATTAGGGCCCTATATAGATCTGTATGTGTGTATCCCATACTCTGGCTCTACCCCTACCCTGACCCCGACCTTGGGGACACCGTGGGACACACACACCCCGTGCCCCCCGTCCATGGGGTGACCCATGCCGGGATGGGAACACCTGCTCCGGCTGCTGCTCGTAATCCCCGGCCTCTAAACGGATTAAAGGGGATCATATCAAAGGAGGGGGGATGCCCGTGAAGGGGGAACCCAACGGGTTAACCAGATTTGGGGTCGTTCGGGACTCGCCCATCGGTGCAGCCCGGTGCAGCCCCGTGCACTACAAGTCCCGAACGACCCCGCAGAGATGCAGGAGCCGGGGGTGTGCTGGGGGGGGAGATCCAAAGCGGGGAGCGGGCGGGGATGATGTCAGCCTGCGGGGAGCCCCAGCGTGGCCAATGGCGCTGCGGGGCCGGGCCAGCGGCAGCGGCGGGGGCGGTGGCGGCGGCGATAGCGGCGAGAGCAACGGAGCCCATTCATGATCCAGCGAACGGGGCCGGTGGCAAGTAAAGCGGAACCGGTGCCCTGCAAAGCGGCGCCGGTACCGCCGTCATGGAGACATCGGGGCATCTCCACGATTCGGGCGTGGGGGACTTGGAGGAGGATGGTCGGTGTCCCTGCCCGTTACCGGGGGATGAACGGTCACCGCCGCCGCCCTCCGCGCTGCCGCCGCTCCAGCACAGCCTGTTGCACTCCTCGCCCGGGTCGTTACGGGCCCCTCCTCCTCCTCCCGCCGCCCCCGCCGCCCTCCACCCTTCCTCCCGCCACGGCAGCCAGCTCAACCTCGGCGACCACCCCGCGGGCTCCGGGGTGGCGAGCAGCAAACACCGGCAGCCCAGCCCTCTGGTCCACCGGCGGGACAGCAACCCCTTCACCGAGATCGCCATGAGCTCCTGCAAGTACAGCGGGGGGGTGATGAAGCCCCTCAGCCGACTCAGCGCATCCCGACGGAACCTCATCGAGGCCGAGCCGGAGGCGCAACCCCTGCAGCTCTTTGGTGCCGGCGAACCCCCCGAAATTGTTGTCTCACGCGAGGACAACCATGCGCCCACCGCCCACCGTCCCAGCCGCCCGCCCGCCCGGCCGGCCCCCACCACCTTTGCCAAGGGGCCCAAGCGCAAGGCACAGAACATTGGATACCGCCTTGGGCACCGCCGGGCACTGTTCGAGAAGAGGAAGCGCCTCAGTGACTACGCGCTCATCTTCGGCATGTTTGGCATTGTCGTCATGGTCATTGAGACTGAGCTCTCCTGGGGGCTCTACTCCAAGGTACCGGCGGGGCCGGGGGGTGTGTGCGGGGTGAGCGCGGAGCCATTTGCCCCATCTGTGCCACGGGATAAATATGGAGCTCGTGTGGAGCGGAGCAGGGGCAGACAGGCTGGCTGGTGACTGGAGGGACGTTCCCAGCGCTTTCTTTAGCGGATGCCGCAGCCACAGGTGTTGCACAGGGTGAGCACCCGGCTGGAGCTGCAGGGGCTTCGTGCTGGCGGCTGCTGCTCTGTCCGGTCCTGCCCCAGGCACTTGCAGCAGCAGCAGGCACCGACCCACTGAGGTTTGTGGTGCCTGTTGCTGGCATGGCAGTGCACTCCTCACGAGCACTGTGCCCCCGGCCGTGCAGCGAAGCACCCCCTCCCTCCTCCTCCTCCTCCTCCACACCCCTTCCTGCCTTTTTTTTTGGCCTTTTTTTTTGCCTTTTTTGCTTTTTTTTTTTTTTTTTTTTTTTTTGCAGGACAGTGTCTTTTATTTATAATTCTCCCCCCCACGTCCCTTCCAGCTCCTGCTCCCAGGGCTGCGCTGGTTGGCAGCGATATGAATAACTCTTTGTATAGACATCTGTCATGTTATTTATACTTATCCAGAGAGGGGGGAAGGCATCGGCACCCCCACCAGCACCCATGGGCGTCAGCGGGGCCGGCGCTGCTGCCGAGGGGGCTGCGGTGCAGCCAGCGGGGGTCCCGGTGCCGCCGGGGCGGGGAAGGAGCGGTGGGAAGGGGAAGGAGCGGTGGGAAGGGGCTGCTCCCCCCTTCCTGCCATGATCCATGGGCACTGCGAGCACGGGAGGTGGAGGAGGGGAGAAATACAGTCGGGGCTCCTGTGATTTTGGGGACCCTGCTGCCTCCCCAGCCAGATTTGGGGGGGTGGTCCTGAGCCCCACCTTTGCACGGCTCAGTGGGCATGGGTGGTGCAGGCAGCAGCTGCGCTGCTCTGTCTGAGGCTGGGGCATGCCAAGCTGGCATCCTCGCCGAGAAAGGAAGATGCTTCAATGCCAGAGCCTTTTTTTCTGGTGGTTCCCACTCCCCCTTTGGCAGGAGCAATGCCAAACCACCATCCCCCACCTGCATCTGCTACCTGTTGAGGCTGGCAGGCTCCGTGTGCCCGCGTGCCTGGCGCCAGGGGGACTGTCCAGCCTCACCAGCAGAATGCTGCCATGCCCAATGGAGCTGCTGTGTCAGCTGGGGAAGACCCCGTGAGTCAGCGCTGCTGCCATGCAGCAGCTGTGACACGCTGCTGCCCCACTGTCACACCAACAACCGTGCTGACAGCCACAAGCAGGGTGCAGGACAGTGCCTGCCTCTGGCCTCTGCAGGCCCCTTGGCCAGATTTGCAGCAGCTGTGAGTGAATCCCCCGGTGGGAAACCAGAACTCGGCGGCAGGGCCGTGATCACGGGTGTGGGAGCGCCTGTGGTGCAGATGGGGCGCAGGCAGTACAGCCCCAGCCCTGCCCCATGGCCCCAGCCATGCCAGCCACAGGGTGCCAGGGCTGAGCTGGCAGCAGGGACACACTGGCCAGGGTTTGCCTGTCCACTGACGGCAGGCAGGACAGGGCTTCTCAGTACTGCTGCTCCCACCACCTGTGTGAGGCATCCTGGCATCCCCTGGTGCAGCAGGACGTGTGCCAGGGGTGCCAAGGTCCTTCCCCACTTTGACCCCGACCCCATGTTGTTTGGGATGCAGGAATGGCTCTTCCTGACAGCTCTCCTCAGGCAGGAGGCATTGGTACACCCCGTGTGACGCTCGCCAGGTGCCCCACGCGGGGTTTGTGCCCCTGAGAAGGGTCTGGCCAGAGCCACCTTGGCACGATGCTGCCCCGGAGCTTGCCTGTTAATAGTAGTGTTTAGTCACAGCACTTTTCTTAGCACCAGCCATTATATCCACACAATTGCACAGCCAGAGCCAAGTCGTTAACAATGCGGTGCCGCCTCCACAGCAAATAGTCCCTTCTCTGCGTGCAAACAGCCTGTGGGGATGAGGAGCACGGGGAAGAGGGAGCCCAGAGCTAGCCCAGAGCTAGCCCAGAGCCAGGCCAGAGCCAGACCAGAGCCAGCCCAGAGCCAGGCCAGAGCTAGCCCAGAGCCAGGCCAGAGCCAGCCCAGAGCCAGCCCAGAGCCAGCCCAGAGCCAGGCCAGATCCAGGCCAGAGCCAGCCCAGATCCAGGCCAGAGCCAGGCCAGAGCCAGGCCAGAGCCAGCCCAGAGCCAGCCCAGAGCCAGCCCAGATCCAGGCCAGAGCCAGCCCAGATCCAGGCCAGAGCCAGGCCAGAGCCAGGCCAGAGCCAGCCCAGAGCCAGGCCAGAGCCAGGCCAGAGCCAGCCCAGAGCCAGCCCAGAGCCAGGCCAGTGCCAGGCCAGAGCCAGCCCAGAGCCAGCCCAGAGCCAGGCCAGAGCCAGCCCAGCACGCTGGGGAAGCCAAGGGTTGGGTGCCATGGGCGAGCTGGGCCTTGGCAGGCCGGGTGTGCCAGGCCTCAGCAGGCCAGGGGTGGCACAGAGGTGTGGGATGGGGGCTAAGGGGGGTTGGTTTTGGGGTAACATCCTGGTGAGGGGCTGCCAATTCTCCCCATCTGTGGGGCTGGACTGCGGCTGGCACGCACATGGGTGAACCAGCATCCAAAGGGAACGCTGAATCCTGCTTTTCACAGCCATCAGGGAATCAGGGGCTGGTTTAATTTACATAAGGCTAATTAGCTGGAGGGTCTGGTTAGATTTTCTGTGTGGATACCGTAACACTGGGCTCAGGCTGGATGGGGCTGGGGCACTGATGTTGCACATCTCAGAGGGGAGGTTGGGAACTGCACTCAGCAGAACAGAAAACAGAATTTAAAAAGAGTTTTTTTTTATTTTTGCTGGTGGTACCAGTGGTGCTGATGGTCCTGATGGTGCCCTTACTACTGTGTCAAGCTGCTTGGGGGGAAGCTGAAGCAGCAAAAGTGCCTTTGAGGATGGGATAGCAGGTGTTGGGGGCAGTGTTTCCTTTGGGGTGTGGAGCCCAGTGCCAGCAGACTCCCACAGCTGTGTGCCCCTTAATGCCTTCCCTGCTTTCCCCCTGCAGGACTCCATGTTCTCCCTGGCCCTGAAATGCCTTATAAGCCTCTCCACCGTCATCCTGCTGGGCCTCATCATTGCCTACCACACCCGGGAGGTGCAGGTAGGTCCTGGCATCGCCAGTGAGGGGCTGTGGGGTTTGCCAAGCACCTGAGTGGGACACAGCACCTGAGCTCACACCCTGGAGCATCCTTCCTCTTTGTCAGGGTCTTGGGGGGCACTTCTTGGCCTGTGAGAGCCCCAGGTGCTGGGCAGATATACTGGTGGCTTGGGGAGACTGCAGCCAGGAAGGGCTCAAGGCAGTCAAAGTGCCAAGGAAAGCCAAGAAATCCTTTCCTAATCAGGGCTGCACACTCTCTTCCTCCCTGGGAAGTTAAAGGAGTCCCAGTTTGTTCCAGGAAAGCTCTGCTTCCCTGTGCTTCGGCACAATGCCAGCCTGCTCAGGGCCTGGGAGGAATGAATCACCAGGCAGAAGAAGGAGCATCCTGGCAAGGGATGTCAAAGCCCCCGGCCCTGAGTGCACCAAAATCCCACCCTGTCCCTCCTGAGGCTGGGGGGCTTTGCCATGGAGGGGCTGGCAGCAGCACCCACTCCCTGCCTGCCCCAGTCCCCACTCCAGCTCAGCCTGCACCCATGGGGACCAAGCCTGGGGGTGAGTTGCTCAATGCAAATATTTGAGAGCTCTGCTTGTTGCTGCAATAATATTTACCCCAGGATGACGGTGGCTGGGGTCAGCCGGGTGAGCTGTGCCCTCCGTGCTCGCTGTTTCCTCTCTGCTTGTTGTTCCTGGCAGTGGGTTGGGCAAACACAACATCCACCCAGGCAGCACACAGGTCATCCCACCTCTCCTGCCCTGAGCAGAGCCAAAGTGCCACTGTGCTGTCCCTCTGCACCTCACCATGATCCCAGCTGCTCTGCCAGGCCAGTCACGCTGGGAGACAGGGAATGAGACAATGAGATGAGTTGGACTTGATCTGCTCCAAACAAAGTTGTGCTGGCTGCTCATTGCCCTGAGTGTTATAAAATGTTATAAAGAAATTGTTGACAATCCAACAAAAACTGAATGGGGCTGCCAGAGCTGTAAATCCTCAACTTCTTGTACCTCTTGGCCAAGGTGGGGGACTGTGCTCAGCTGGCCATGGCACTTGTCAGACCTCCCAGCCCCTGGGAAACAATCAGCCTCTTCCCTCAGGATTCCCTCTTCAGCTCTTGCCCAGGGAAACTGGGGCTGCCTCATCACTGGAAGTGTCCAAGGCCAGGCTGAATGGAGTTTGGAGCAACCTGGGGTAGTGGAAGGTGTCCCTGCCCATGAAAGGGGGTGGAATGAGATGAACTTTAAGGTCCTGTTCAACCCAAACCAGTCTGTGATTCTATCATCCTACTAATTGTGTTAATTAGTCCTTTGAAGGTCTTCCTGTGCCTCAGTTTCTCTGGGGCTGAGGCATCACTCAGCACCACGTTATATCACAACAGGTGAAGGAGAGCAGTGCTGGTAACGCTGTCAGCTCCTGCCAGGGTGCTGTGGATGAGCAGAGACCCCCTCATCCCTGTGCTTGGAGTGCCTGGAGCTGTTCAGGCTATTGGTGAAACTTTAGTCCTCATGAGGCGTCTTGGTAGCTTTTCTTGGCCTCTGTTTTTCTGGAGACATGGTGGATCTTGTCCCTGCCCCTGCTGGAGCCAGTGATGCTGCATGTGTTGGGAAATGCCCCCTTGGGTACCACTGAACCACTCCAGGTTTCCATGGAAACCCACTTTGATGCTTTACAGGTACAGAACAGAGAGGGGCTGGCTCAGGGGAATCCTGCCCAAATCTTGCTCCTTCCCCTCCCTGGCCTATGGCAGTTCCCCCTCATACAGTCAAAAGGCTCCTGCCTTTTCCGCTTGCTAATTTGTTTATTTTAACACCCTTTTCCAGGAAGGAATAGGCTGTCAGCTTGCTAAATGCCTGAGGATCTCCCTTGACAGCTTGGAGCATTTTTGTAAACAATTTCTCAAACAAAGAAGCTAAAAGGAGCAGAGTTTTCCCTACAGAAAGGGAGGTGGCTGGGACAGCCACTCTGTGACTCAGTCCCCGTGGCTCCTGCCATCCCCAGGGAGAGCCCCAAATGCCACGCTGGGCTGGCACAGGTGTACTGGGGCCTCTGGGGGTTGCTCCTGGGCTCAGGGCCAGCTGGGGCCGTGCTCCCCACTCACCTCTCACCCTCTGCCTGGGCTCTGCCCAGCCCTGGCTCTGTGAGCGAGCCAGCGTCGCTCCATGAGTGAAGGATTGAGGACACGGACAATGGCACCAGCTGCCACATCCCCCTTGGATCCCTTCCTGGTGCTTCCTTTGGCAAGTGCTGCTTGCAGAGGGGCCCCGAGCCCGTCCCTCCTGCCGGGTGTCCCTGTCACACCAGGGAGGAGCCAATGGCAGCCTCAGGACTGCCCCTGCCGAGTCACCTGCATGGGTGATTCCCAGGGCTCTGCTGGCATCCCAGGGAGGCCAACGGAGCTGCCACCCCCTCCCAGCTCCTGCAGAGACCCCAGCTCCATCACTGATGATGGGAGAGGAGCTGCTGTACCCAGGATGAACCGTCAGTTGCCATGACAACTGAATCCCATCTCCGCCAGCAGCTGGATGCTCCGACTGTGGTGTTCACTGCCCAGATACTGCCCTGGCACTCAGGGTGTGACAACTGTCAGCAAAATCAGTGCAACCCCAGGAGCAGAGGGACTGGGGTGACTCATGCTGGGGCTCTGTGGCACCATGGCTTGCCCATTTCTGTGGTGAGGGGGATGTTTTGGGAGGTGGGCTCCTGCCAGCCAGATTTTGAGTGAGCTGTCCCCATGCTGTCCCTGGGTGTGTGTTCTCAAGGCCAGGCACCTTAAAGTTTTGGTGACCATCCCTGACACACACTAGCAGGGCAGCACAGAGCTTGGTGGTGACTCATTCCCATGTTTTTCTTCCCCCATCCATCCCCAACCCTTCTGGCTGAGCCACACCCAGAGCTCCTCTTAGCTCTGACCCCCAGATCCTGAGGAGGGAGGGTCAGGGATGGCAGTGGGCAGGTTGTGGGGCCACTGGTGACTGTTCTGCATCCTGGCAGCTCTTTGTGATCGACAATGGAGCTGACGACTGGCGGATAGCGATGACGTACGAGCGCATCCTCTACATCAGCCTGGAGATGCTGGTCTGTGCTATACACCCCATCCCTGGGGAGTACAAATTTTTCTGGACAGCTCGCCTGGCTTTCTCCTACACACCATCTCGGGCAGAGGCCGATGTGGACATCATCCTGTCTATCCCCATGTTCCTGCGCCTCTACCTGATCGCTCGGGTGATGCTGCTGCACAGCAAGCTCTTCACCGACGCCTCCTCGCGCAGCATCGGGGCACTCAACAAGATCAACTTCAACACCCGCTTCGTCATGAAGACACTCATGACCATCTGCCCCGGGACAGTGCTGCTGGTCTTCAGCATTTCCCTCTGGATCATCGCTGCGTGGACAGTCCGTGTGTGTGAGAGGTGAGAGGGGCTGGGGTGCCTGGTGCTCTGGGATTCAGGGTGTTTGCAGTGAGCTGGGGTTAGGGGTTTGTGGCAGCTCAGGATGCTCAGGGCTTGGTGGTTTGGGGTGCTCAGCTGTTAAGGATGCACACAGGTTCGGGATGCACGGAGTTTTGGGATGCAGGGGGGTTTGGGAGGCTCAGTAGTTCAGGATACGAGCATGATGAGCAGCAGTGTGGAGGTTTAGAATGCTCCACGGTTCAGGATGTGCAGCAGTTCAGGATGTGCAGCAGTTCAGGACGTGCAGCAGCAGTTTAGGAACGCACAGAGGGTCAGGATGGAGGGAGGTTTGGGATGCAGGGAGGTTTGGGATGCAGGGAGGTTTGGGATGCTCAGGACACGAGCACGACAACAGCAGTTTGGGATGTGTGGAGTCTGGAAAGCTCCACGGTTCAGGATGTGCAGCAGTTCAGGAATGCACAGAGGTTCAGGATGCACAGAGGTTCAGGATGCAGGGAGGTTTGGGATGCAGGGAAGTTTGGGATGCAGGGAGGTTTGGGATGCTCAGTAGCTCAGGACACGAGCATGACAAACAGTTTGGGATGTGGGAAGGTTTGGAAAGCTCCAGGGTTCAGGATGTGCAGCGGTTCAGGATGTGCAGCGGTTCAGGAATGCGTGATGATGTGCAGTGCCTCTGGAAGCTCAGCAGTTTGTGGTTTGGGATTCACGGCAGTCTGGAATTCTCAATGGAGATGTGATGTCCCAACAGCCTGGAGGAGGGGGGGTGTTGGGGCCTCAGTGGTTCCCTGCACTGAGCCCTGCTGTTACAGATGATAAATTGCACAGGCAGGAAGCAGAGCAGGGTCAGCCCTGTCCTCACAGGGTCCTTGTGCAAGGGAACATCTGTGGTGCCAGAAGCTCCAGGAGCACGGCTGGGGGACAAGGAGAGTGCTGGGAGCTGGGGGCTGTGCATGGGGAGGACCCAGAGGTGCTGATGGGGAGTGACAGGGCCTGGCTCAGGCTCCAGCATCGCTGCAAGTGACTGCCATGACAACACTGTGGTGACATACCCACAGCTTGATGGCATCACGCCAGCACCAGCGTGCTCAGCACCGGGGTTGCTGTGGCGACCAGCCTGGTGGGTATCACTGCACCTCCATCTCTCAGGGCCCTGCCACCACTCTTTGTCTACTGAGGGAACCAGGGGGCTGTGCTGGTGGCATCCCAGGGCTGTGCCAGAAGGTTTTCTCCACAGCCACAGTGCAGCAGCCCCCGGGGAAGGGAGGGCAGGTTCCTCCAGGAGCTGCCCTGTTGTGGTAGCTTTGTGTCATTCGTGGAGCTGAGGTGTGAGGGATCACAGCAACTGGCAGCCCAGGGTTACCTGGGACACCCAGGTTGCTTCTAGATTGCTTTCAAAGTGAGAGGAAGGCCACCCCCCTCCTCCTCGGGGTGGGACCCGTTGCTGTGGTCACACTGCAAAGGGGCATTAGGGCAGCTGGAAGTGCTGTGGCAGTGGCGTGGGATGGCACGCTGAGATTTTATGAGCTTTTACTGCCTGCATTTGCCTTCCTGCCTCCCTTAATGATGCTCTCCTTATGAGCTGGATGCTCAGGCTGTGCCTAATTGTGTTTGAGAGATTGTGGTTTGTGCCTCCTCAGCAGGGAGCAGGAGCACAGGCACCCAGGACACACACAGGAGGGTAATCTAACAGCTGGCAAGGCTCAGGCTGGAGGAAGCAACGAAGAACTATCAGGAACAAAAATCCCCAGAAATTATGCAGACGAGGCACTGCAGATCATTGGCAGTTGCCATCACCTCCCTCGATGTACAGAGAGGCAGAAGAGAACCCAGGTGGGCTGGAGATGCGTCAGGCCTGGGGGATGCAGGGCTGGGGGAATGCAGAGGCCCTGGGACACGCTCTGTGTGTGAGGGATGCCACATCCCTGGGGGATGCACCAGCCCTGGGGGCCTCACACAGCTCCCACAAGGGCTACCCAGGACGTGTCCCCCTGCCCACTGGCACTGGAAAACAGCTTCCAGCCATTTGCAGCAGCATTCCCCAGCAGCACCCACTGGGCCCAGGCAGTTTAGAGGTGGTGGTGCCTCTCCAAGACATCCTGGGGCTGGGGTGCCACATCTTATTGGAATATTTACCAATCTAGCCAGACAGGACGTGCCTGAGCTTGTCTGGCCCTTGCTGCTGAACCAAAAAGCAGCAACTGCGGTGTTTCACCCCACAGACACTTTTGGCTGCCTGGGTGTGTGGTGTTTCACCCCACAGACACTTTGGGCTGGCTGGGTGTGTGGTGTTTCACCCCACAGACACTTTTGGCTGGTTGGATGTGTGGTGTTTGACCCCACAGACACTTTTGGCTGGCTGGGGGTGTGGTGTTTCACCCCACAGACACTTTTGCCTGCCTGGGTGCTGCAGCTGGGCACTGCAGACAAGTCCAGGCCTGCAGGAGCTCTGGTGGTGCTGGGATGGAGCTTCCCCCCATAACAGGGGCTGCTCCTCAGATTTATCTCTGCCAGAGAAGCTTTCAGGCCATGGTGAAGGAAAGGAGTTGGTTCTGATGGAGGCTTTGGATCCAGAGCTTTATTCTGGCCCTCAGACCTCTGAATGCAGCACCAGCTCCCACAGAACTCCCTGAGCCCGGGGTTGCTGCTCCTTTAACCCCGGGGAGAGGGGCAGGGAAGGGGCAGGGAGCCACCAAGCAGGGACAGGAGGGAGGGACAAAGGGACAAAGGACACCTGGATGGCCCAATGTCCTCCAGGGATGGAAAGCATCTTTTGAATTTTGCCAATCACTTCTGGAATTCCAGGGCTGACAGACAGCGCTGGGAGGGGAAAGGAGAGAGGTGACTGACACACCTGGCAGGGAATTTTCACGGAGGGACCCGAGGTTCTGAGGTAAACCCTGAAATCACAACGCAACAACGGCACCGAGCTGTGCTCTCCGTGGCTGTGGGGGCAGCAGCGGCATCCTCAGCATCCTCAGCATCCTCAGCATCCTCGGCATCCTCAGCATCCTCAGCATCCTCCCGTGCGCCGCGGGGCCGCTCCTCTCGCTGCTTAGCAACCCCGCCCGCCGCTCCGGTGCGCGCCCGCCCGGCCCCGCGGAGCGCACGTGTGCCCCAACGTGTGCCCGGTGCACCGGCCGGGGCTGCCCGGAGCCCGAACGTGGCACCGTGGTCACAGGGGTCCGAGGATGAGGGAGGAGAGGAGGATCTGACTCCGTGTTTCAGGAGGCTTGATTTATTATTTTATTATATATGTTATATTAAAACTATACTAAAAGGATAGAAGAAAGGATTTCATCAGAAGGCTGGCTAAGAATAGAATAGGAAAGAATGATAACAAAGGTTTGTGGCTCGGGTCTCTGTCCGAGCCAGCTGGGCTGTGATTGGCCATTAATTAGAAACAACCACATGAGCCCAATCCCAGATCCACCTGTTGCATTCCACAGCAGCAGATAACCATTGGTTACATTTTGTTCCTGAGGCCTCTCAGCTTCTCAGGAGGAAAAATCCTCAGGAAAGGATTTTCCATAAAAATGTCTGGGACACAAACGTGTGCCCAGAGCAGCGGCCAGGGCTGCCCAGAGCCTGGGGTTGGTGCTGCTGCACTCAGGGCAGGGCTGTAGGTGATGCTCAGGGCAGCCAGAGAGGTGAGGGTGGCTGTGTGCAGGTCAAGGGATGACAGAAAGTGCCTCAGACCCTCTGCTCTTCACCCCAGAAAGTGCTGCTGGTGTCTGAGCAGGTGGCCCCTCTTTCTGGTCAACCCCTCTGGTTTATCAATCTTGCTCAAAATGCTGCTCAGTGGAGAAAATGTCCCTCTGTCCAGCAGGCCTGGAACCCCCCCTTGTCCAGCATGATGCTCTTGGGGCTGTTCCCTCAGGACATTGCACCCTGTGGGATGAGGTGGGCTCAGATCTCCTCAGGACAAGACACTGGATGGGAGAATTTTGTGTGTGCCCCACTGCTGGCACTGGAATTTTGGGGAGCATCACTGTGGTTATTGGCCCTAACTCCCACAGAGCCCATAACCTATCCAGCTCTGGGATGATCATGGGTGCCCCACTGCTGGCACTGGAATTTTGGGGAGCATCACTGTGGTTGTGGGCTCTATCTCCCCTGGCCAGCCCTGCCCAGAGTGAGCCTCACCAGGGCTGAGGGTGCTTTCTCCTGCACCAGGACCTCATTTGAGTCTCCAGCTGAGGGAAAAAAACATTTCAGAAGAGGAGAAAACCCAACTGCTCTGCGAGTGGTGCTCTTGGAGCTGGGATTGCCAAAAGCTCCATCTGTTTTCCCTCTCCAGATCCTGTGAAGAGGCTGGGAGAAGCCTGCCAGGGAGGCAGGAGAACAACCATCCTGTTCATAGTGGGGTAAAGGCTCTGCCTGCCCCTGCCAGCTTAGGGCCGAGTTTGGCTGCCAGGAGTCAGCACCACATCCCTGGCAGTTGTACCTGCCTGCCTTGGCTGTGCCCTGGGGAGCTGGAGGCAGCTGGGGCCCCTCTCTGTGAGCTTGCTGGAAGAGCCAAACCCAGCTCTGGGACAGCCAGAATGGTCACTGACCTCACATCCCCAGCAGGGACCTGGAAAATCTGCAGCGTTCCCAAAGCTGCAGCCACTCCACGTGTGCTGTGTCCTGAGTGTGTGGGAGCTGTTCCTGTGTTCCTGAAAGCCAAGGCTGTGCCAGAGGCTCCACAGGACCCCTCCCCAGCAGTTCTGCTGGCAGCTGTGCCCTCTGGAGTGCCACAGCAGCAGTGGGATGCAGGGGGCTATGCCAAGGGTGAGCTGCTGTGCTCAGAGCCTGTGCAGAGCCACAGCTCTTTGTCCCTCCAGCCAATCCTCACTGCAGCACCACTGGGGACACACAACAGGGCTGGGATGTGGTGACAGGTCTGACTGAAAGCAGAAGCCTTTTCCACCGAGTTTTTGCTCTCATTTTGTCCCATCTGGGTTTCCCAGTGCCAGAAATTACGCAAGCACTGCCACTATGGCACATCCTACTGCGCTGTTAATCCTGCACCCCAGCCCAGCCCAGGCTGGGGGAGCCCAGGTACCCCCATTTCTGCCCCATCCATCCCTGTCCCCTGCTGTGACACTGATGCCCCTGTCTCCTTGGCAGGTACCACGACCAGCAGGATGTAACCAGCAACTTCCTGGGTGCTATGTGGCTCATCTCCATCACCTTCCTCTCCATTGGCTACGGGGACATGGTCCCACACACCTACTGTGGCAAGGGAGTCTGCCTGCTCACTGGCATCATGGTAAGGGCCATGCTGAGCTGCTTTCCCTTCCGTGGGCTCTGCCTGTCTCCATGGCAGAGGAGGGGCTTCTGGAGTTTACCAGTGCCTGTTTCTCAATGTACAAGGCCTAATGAGTCCAGCTCTGAGGTCTCACAGCCTGGAAGTTCAGAAAGTTGTCTCAGCTGATGAATTTGGGGTGGGTTTGGACCCACAGTCAGTAAGGGTGGAGTCAGGGAGCAGAAGGGCACCTGAGCATCCCTTGGCCATCCTGGTCCACATCATCTGGCTTCCATTGCTCATCTGCCAGGGGTTCCTTTCCTTCTCAGCCAAAAGGCCACCATTCTCCAGAGTACCTGCCCTTAGAAGCCCACCACGAGATCTCCTGGCTTGTGGGACTTTCCTTTCCAGCCAGGGCTGCTGAAGGAGCAGCTGGGGGCTCCTCACAGATGTTCCCCAGCCATCAGCTCTGCCCACCTCAGCTCCAGGCCCTGGGGATGGAGCCATCCCTCCTCCAGCTAGGGCAGACCCCATGAGTACCATCAGCTGGGGGGGCTCCACCAGGAAGAATTCATCCTGTATCACCTGCAAATCTTTGATGTGTCTTGGATGAGGCTAGAGGCAGCAAGGCTGGTGTTTCTGGTGGGAGAAAATCCCTGTGGATGGGGGTGATGCAGCAATTGCCAGCAGAGGAGGAGCTGCTGGCTCATCTGAGGGGGTTCCAGCTTCCCAAAACCCTTGCCCAGCCAGAGATGACTTTGAAGTGAGGCCCCATCTGCCAAAGTGTCCCCCCACCCCTGGGAACAGAGACCCCCACGCCCTGTGGGGTTGGAGGCTTTGCTGGGCAGTCAGCACCAGGGTAGAGTCACTGATCCTGGTGGCAGCCAGAGAGTGCAGCAGGACCCTTGAGGACACTGAAGGATTCAGGCCAGCAGGTTAATTAATGGCTCTTTAAGGACAGCTTGCCAGGCTGACAGCTCTCTGCCAGAGCACTGGGGGCAGGGGCCCAGCTGGAATGAGCAGAGCTCAGGAGCACAGCAGGCACAGAGGCTCTGGGAAGGACAGCTCAGCACAGATGTGCACTGGAGATGGTGGCTGCCACGCACATCTGGTGTGATTGCTGGGATAAGGGAGTTCCCAGCCGCACCAGTTTGAATTTGGAGCCCCTTCTCTGCTCTCACCTGTGCTGCCTGGTGTTTCCCCACTGCTCTCCCAGCCCAGCCCTCTCTTGGGAATGGAGGGCTCCTCATCCCACAGGGCTCTGGCACGGGGCAGATCTCTGGTCTGCAGTGGCACAGGCTCCCCATCAACCACTGCTGACCTTGCTGACAGCCCTGGCCTCTCCTGTTAGTCACAGAGCCCTTCATCAGCCACTCAAGGACACCCAGGCTCTGCCAGATCTTGTCAGGATAACAGGGAGGACACGTAGCTTTAGGAATCTGCAGGTTTCAAGGGTGAGGGTGGGAGTGCTGGTGTTACAAAACAGTGACAAAAACTGTTTCCCCACCTGATGTCCCTGCACAGGGTGCTGGATGTACAGCACTGGTGGTGGCTGTGGTGGCCAGGAAGCTGGAGCTCACCAAAGCTGAGAAGCACGTCCACAACTTCATGATGGACACACAGCTGACAAAGAGGGTAAGGTGCCATGGGGGCATTGCTGAGTGCCAGGAGCTGGGGTTTGGGCTACTGTGGCAGGAGGGAGGTGTCAGCACCTCTGGATCCTGTGGGTATCACAGTGGAAGGAGGTGCCAGCATCTCTGAGTGAAGCTACAACAGGACAGGAAGGTGTTGGCACCTTTGGGTGTGGGTCCTGTGGGTACCACTGCTGAGGAAGTTTTCCAGATGCTGTGGATATTGCACAAGTGTTACACTGAGACAAAGAGCAGCAGCTCTCTTCCAGGCATTGAGGTGATTTGGGAGCACACTCCCTCCTCTTCCAGAGCATGATCTCACTCCTCTTGCTGTCAGGAAGACAACTGGATTTCAGTGATTCAGTGTCCACCACAGATAAGAACCATACTGCGAGGCTCCCCTGAGGAGAGCCTGCAGCAGGGTGCTCATGGGGTCACCAGAACTGGTGTCACATCCCTGCTAGCATGTAGGAGCAGCAGGAGGTCGCTGGTGTTGGCAGCCTCATCGTGGCAAAGCATCAGCCAACCCACAGTGGTGTGTCATAGAATGGTCTCTGCTCAATAGAATACATTTCAGAGGGGATGGTGGCAAAAGGAGCATCAGTGCAGCCCTTGGAAAGGCAACCAGTGGTGGGATGCAAGCAGGGCACCCACTTCACCCCAGAGAGCAGAGCCCCAGACAAAGCCCTGACACCCCAGCAATAGCCAGGACCTTGGTGTGACCAGGCTGGGAGAGCAGAACAGCTGGTGAGCCCCTCTGCTCTGCCATTGATAGGGATCTGCAGGCTCCATGCCAGGCAGAGAGCAGCCAATTGCTCCTGGAGTGAGCAGCTGAGCTGTGGTTCAGGCACAGAGCCTGCAGAAATCACATCCCAGCACCAGCAGCACAACTGGGACCTGCTGGTCTGGGACCTGCCAGGATTCACAGATGGGTTCCCCCCTGTCCATCGTGCCCAGCAGAAGCTGCTGCTGATCTCTCTCAGGAGGTTGCCAGCATAGCAATGGAGAATATGTTAGAAATTCTGAGAAAGAGCCTGAAATGCAGCATTTTCCCCAGCCTGCAGGCAGCTGGTGGAGAAAAAAAAAACTGGTTTTTTTTGGTTTTTTTTTTTTTAATTGAGGTTTATGGTACAACTTTGTGTGTAGGCAAAGAGCCAGGACTGGGATGTGGGTACACCAGGGGCCAGCAGCTCTGCCTTCTCTTGCTGCTTGAAGTGTTCAGCATCCCCTGGAACAGTCCAGGAGAGCTTTGTGGGTGCAGAGCCCCACTCCAGCTGGGGCAGGGCATGTGCAGCAGGTCCATGGCAGAGCCAGGGCAGCGCCTCTGGGCTCCCACATGGCTGGTGACCTGCAGCCACTCTTCCTTCTCAGATCAAGAACGCGGCAGCCAACGTCCTGCGGGAGACATGGCTGATCTACAAACACACCAAGCTGCTCAAGAAGATCGACCATGCTAAAGTCAGGAAGCACCAGAGGAAGTTCCTACAAGCCATCCACCAGTAAGAGGCTGTGCAGTGGGCTGGGGGCAGGCTGAGCTCCAGATAAAGCAGGATCCTGTCCCTGGCAGGGCTGTGGGGGCAGTTTTGCGTTGCCCAAGATGCAGGCAGGTGCCCAGGTGCAGTTTGGAAGAGGGGAGGGAGTGCAGCCTCGTGCTCTTTCCTTCTCCCCAGGTTACGGAGCGTGAAGATGGAGCAGAGGAAGCTGAGTGACCAAGCCAACACCCTTGTCGACCTCTCAAAGGCAAGTCCCACAGGAACCCTGTGGCTTGGCCAGACTGAGTGTTTCTCTTCGCTTGGAATAAGTAAAGCAGACTTGGCTGACCGCAAAATGCTCCGACTCAGTAAATGTCAGCAAGGAATAGCTGCTGTGGGATGGCTGCCCTTGCAAAGCAGGAGATACACATTCATGAGCCAGAGGTTCCCTGCAACCCTTTTTGCAAGGGGTACCATGGCTCAGCAGCACAGGGCCAGCAGAGTTTCCTTGCTTTGACGGCCAGGGATGAGCCAAACTGCAGTGGCAGAGCCCTTGGAGAAGCTGGGGTGGGCTGAGATGGGGCAGCTCTCAGGGGTAAAAGGGGTAAAGGGGTGAGCTGAGCCAAGCTGCAGTGGCAGAGCCCTTGGAGAAGCTGGGGTGGGCTGAGATGGGGCAGCTCTCAGGGTGAGCTCTGTGGCATTAACCCCTCCAGCCATGGTACTAACTGTCCCCCGTGTCCCCTCCCCAGATGCAGAACGTGATGTACGACCTCATCACAGAGCTAAACGACCGCAGTGAGGACCTGGAGAAGCAGATCAGCGGCCTGGAATCCAAGCTGGAGCAGCTCAGTGCCAGCTTCAACTCCCTGCCCCTGCTGATGGCTGACATGCTGCGGCAGCAGCAGCAGCGCCTGCTCAGCGCCGTCCTGGAGGCCAGAGGGGTTGGGGTGCCCGTGGGAACCCCCCAGACCCCTCTCTCTGAGAGCCCCATCGGGGTCAGCTCCACCTCCTTCCCCACCCCTTACACGAGCTCAAGCAGCTGCTAAAACACTTCAGCCCCTTCAGCCCCGCCGTGGACAGGGGAAGCATTTCCACACAGATCGCGAGGTCTCTGTGAACTTTTCCTCTGGTCCTTGAACCGCTGCAGGAGCCTTCAGCTGGAGCCAGTAGTGGGACCAGCAGTGCCGAGCGTCGCTCGGAGCTTTGCCAACGCCTTGGTATTGGGAATTGCATCCCTCTTCAGGTGCCTCTACACGTGGTGAAGGAAGGGGACAGAAGGTGATGCCTTGGGCCAGCCTGTGCCGCGGCGTCCGGTGGCAGACGGGAAAAACCCACGCTCAATCTCAGGTCTTCACATTTGAAAACAAAACAAAACAAAACAAAACAAAACAAAACAAAACACCAAGTCAGAAGCACTGAAGCAACGGAGACACCGGAGGGAGAGTTTTTTCTCCCTGGGGCGCCCCCCTGGCCCCCTGGCCCTCTCAAGATTGCCAAACCTCGCCAGGCAGATGCCAGCGTGGGGAGGTTGGTGATGCAGGCTCTGGCTGACGCTGCCTATGCTCCATTCCATCTCCTGGCCACAGGACAGCCCCCTCACACTGACAGCTGGGTGACCATGCCTGACTGTAACCTTCCTGTGGAGTTCTCTGGAGCTGTGAGTGTTTTCTACCCAGAGAAGAAACGATGGACACTTCTTCTTTCTGGTCCTTAGTGTCACATTCTGCCTGGAGACACGTGCCAGAGCCAGGAAAGCAGTGCCTACAGCGTGCAGGGCCACGCAGGGCTGCCCCCAGAGCCAATGTGTTGGTGGCCAGTGGTGGGGCTGGCAGGCCAGCTCGGGCACTGAGGGGGTCTCCAGGTGCTCACATCACTGCCTGCTGGGAGCCTCCCAGCACTTTGCAAAGCCAGTGGGCTCTTTGCAGCAGTCTCAGAAGTGCTGGATGAACACCCCATCAGCTCCAGCTGTCTCCACTCGCGCTGGGAACATCCATGCTTGAGCCCAGTTGGCAATGCCCAATCCACCAGGATCAAGCAGGAGCTCACTGGCAAGTGATGTGGTAGCAGGGGCAGGTGCTTCATCTGTTTAAAACAAAGCCCATGGCCTTCATGCCACTTCTGCTGGGTTTGGTGGAGGACAGCAGCACTCTCTGGCACCGTCTTGGCACAGGCACTGCTGCCCATGCCTGCCAAAGAGCAGCACATCAGACCCCATTACAGTTTTTGCTGGTGTTCAGCTTCCTGAGGTACCCTTGGCATCACCTGGCTGCTTCTGGAACCAGCCACTTTCTGGTTTGCTTTCACCATTTCTCCCTTTTTCCTCCTGAGTTCTTCTTCCCCAGTGTCATGTTCTGGCTTTCCTGGGTCCTTGCATGGAGCCATGCCAGGCTCTGACTTTGGGGTTGGTGTTTGCTGCTTTCCATGAAAACTCAGCAGAGAATATTTCTATATTTTTAAACAGATGAAGTAACCATGTAATTACTCTGCAATATTAATTGCACCTCACCCAGCAGTGTCAGTAATTGTAATCAGTCACTGTGTTACTCCAGGTATACTCAGCCTGTAACGCTCTCCTTTGTAACTTTTCCCCCTTCCATAAATAATGCTGGATTTTGTGCACACGTAGGGGTAGAGACCCACCACCCTCCTGCACCACCACCACCACCCCTACACCCCCAATGCTGAAGGATTTCCTTGCTGCCAGTGGTGTGAGGTGGTTTCACTCCCTGTGCCCTGCAGCTGGAGTTACACAGAAAATAAGCAGAAATTAGTGAGGAGTGCTGCCCCCATGCTGGCCCTAGGAGGAGGAGGAGGAGGAAGGCTGCAAAATGAGATCTCTGTGCTGCAGAGGTGCTGGAAGCAGGGGACAAACACAACCCATCCCTGTTGCCTTCAGGCAGGCACGTGCCCATTGCTGCTGGTCCTTGGCCAGTGGGAGAGAAACTGGCTTTGGGAAGGAGCTGCTCTTCCAAGCTCTTGTAATTACTATCACTGATGTCCTAGGGATGGCTGGGGATTCACTGCTGCCTTGGAAGCCCCCCATGGTCTATTCTCAGCCCAGCTGCTGCTCCCTGGGTGCCTGTGGGTGCCCCCCCTGTCCATCGTGCCCAGCAGAAGCTGCTGCTGATCTCTCTCAGGAGGCTCCCAGCAGAGCAATGGAGAATATGTTAGAAATTCTGAGAAAGAGCCTGAAATGCAGCATTTTCCCCAGCCTGCAGGCAGCTGGTGGAGAAAAAAAAAATGCTTTCTGGGCTTCAGATAGGAGCAAACTGCCCATGGAATGGTGCTGTGAAGATGTGTCCTGGGGCATCAGGGAGCCAGAGGAAGTATTGATCCTTAAAGATCAATATTGCCAGCAGGAACCTCCCTGCCAGGCACAGATCGAGTCTGGGGAATCCAACCAAGTGAGACAAGAGCAGGAGCTGCCTGGAGGTGCTAAGGGCCACAGTGAGAGTGTTGGGATTGCAGCTGGAGCAAGAGCCCCCTGTTCTGGGGCAGAGCAGCTGCTGCTGCAGTGGGATTTCCACAGGGCTGGGGCAGTGGATCCCTGTGCACCCCACAACCTTCCTGCCCTGGCCTCATCTCAGCACAACCTGCAGTGCAGCCACCCTTCTGCCTGTGACCTGGGGTCTGCACCCTGTGCCCTGCACCCTGCATCCCACAGACCCTCACACCCCTATCCCACCCCTTCACCCCCATTCCACACCTGGATGCCCATCCCAATCCCCACACCCCCATCGACCCCTTCACCCCCATCCCACACCTGGATGCCCATCCCAATCCCCACGCCCCTATCCCACCCTTCACCCCCCATTCCACACCCCTGGATGCCCATCCCAATCCCCACTCCCCTATCCCACCCCTTCACCCCCCATTCCACACCCCTGAATGCCCATCCCAATCCCCCTATCCCACCCCTTCACCCCCATCCCACACCTGGATGCCCATCCCAATCCCCACACCCCCATCGACCCCTTCACCCCCATCCCACACCTGGATGCCCATCCCAATCCCCACTCCCCTATCCCACCCCTTCACCCCCATCCCACACCTGAATGCCCATCCCAATCCCCCTATCCCACCCCTTCACCCCCATCCCACACCTGAATGCCCATCCCAATCCCCAAAGCCCATATCCCACCCCTGGATGCCCATCCCAATCCCCACACCCCTATCCCACCCCTTCACCCACTCCCCTGCCAGTTTGAGCAGCAGCCCTGACCCATTGCTCCCAGCACCAGACTCCACCATGGCCAGCACTGAGACCAATCCCCTCCAGCCCTGCTCCAGGAGCCCAAATCCCACCTGAGGCCACGGGGGGAGGCAGGAGGAGTGAGGAGCCCCCAGGGCCCGCCGTGCCCACCCAGAGCTGCTCCCTGATGGCAGCTCCAGGTCACCAGCAGCCTTGGCTGGCACAGCCCCGCTGAACAGCTCCAGTAAATGCTCCCCAGCCAGTCCAGCCCAGCCCACACACCTGAGATGATCACTTTGGGTACCCTAAGGGACATCAGGACAGAGAGAAGAGATCGGCAGCCGAGGTGGAAGAACAGCACGAGAGGAAAATCGCAGAGATGCCGACCTCCTGCAAGCTGGGAAGCATCTGATCCCACAGCCCAGTGGGGCCAATGCCCCTCCAGGACCCACCTGACCCAGCCAGTCCCATTTTTGGCACAGTCTTGGGGGCTTTTTTTTTGCTCCACGAGTCTCCTTCCTGCTCCGCCTGCAAGGAACTGTCCTAGAAATCCCAGAAAAATTCCACAATCTCTCTGCAAACTCATGGATGTTTCTGTCCAGACTTAAGGAGCTTTGACCTGGGTTTGCATCTTGCCTCTGTACTGCTCGCTTATTTTTTAATGATAGGGGAAAGCATAATAGTTTATTTTAACTATGAAATATATTGCTATATTATGATGGTTATGGTAACTTTCAATTATGGTTTTGTACCCAACACGGTTGTTAGCAAGGCAGCAACACCAGGCTGCTGCCAAAAATGTCTGTTTCTGAGTACAGCTACCACTGCCAGTGAGGATGGGGGACAGGGAGAGGTGCAGAACCCACACTCTTATCCTTTATCACCCTTGTACTCATTTCCAGTACTTGGAAGCTGACCTCTAACAGGTCTGGATCTGTGTGTGGCCCAGTGGCACCAGAGCTTTGCTTCTCCCCACAGAAAGGTCAGGCTCCCCCCTTTTTTTTTCCCCAGGTTCTGGAAAGCCATTTTGCCCCAGGTTGTGTCCTCCAGCAGAAGGAGGGACTCTGCTCCCTGGGCACAAGCTCTGCAAGAGTCAAAATTCCCCTTTTCCTCCAGGGTGGAGGCTCTTGAGAAAGCAGCGCTGCAGAGCACATTTTCATAGAATTATGGAATCATTAAGGTTGGAAAAGTCCTCAGAGAGCATCAAGTCCAGCTGTTAACCCAGCAGCACCACCAAGCCCACGTGCCCGAGTGCCACAAACACAAATCTTCTGGATTCCTCCAGGGATGGGGACTCCACTACTGCCCTGGGCAGCCTGGCCACACTTACACGCCAGAAATTTTCCCAATATCCAACCCAAACATCCCCTGGCACGACTTTCGGGCATTGTCTCTTGTCCTTTCACTTGTTACTTGGGAGAAGAGACTGGGACAGGTCCAGTTCACCTTTCACACCCTGCCCTGGGGAGCTGCAGCTTCTGCTGAACCTCAGGGTATGATGGCATGGGAGGACAAAACCCTGAGCCTGAAAGAGAAATGAGAAGAGGCTGCAGGGATTGTTTTGTCTCAGCATTCCAGGCTGCCCAGAGTTGTGTCTGCCCCATCTCTGGAAGTGTTCAAGGCCAGGTTAGATGGGGCTTGGAGCAACCTGGTCTAGGGGAAGGTGTCTCAGCCCGTGGCATGGGGAATGAGATGAGCTTTAAGTCCCTTCCAACCCAAACTGTTCTGTGATTCCATGATTCTGTGATTCTATGGGCTCCTTGAGCCTCAGAGAGCATCACTACCTTACCTCCAGCCCCTCCTGAGCTGCTGGACCTGATCCCTGCTGGATCCTAAGGCTTAAACTGCTCTTTG